CTGCCAGAATGTGAATTCTGAGATTTCTGACAGCTGACTTGCTCCAAAAGTCCCAGTTTGAAAATAGAATGCTTTCTCCTATGTTATTAAAAGCAATCTCTTGGAAACAGGTCTCTCAGGTAGATTACGAGCAAGATATGCCTCTGCATTATTGTAGCTGAATGCGGGTTATAGGTTATGCTTATTTTATAAGCAAAAACTTGTTCCAGGTACGAGAACTGACTCAGAATTTGGTGTAGTTGTTAGCTGACAATGCTGCTGCTGTTACTGTGCATGACCTGGGTGAGTCCTGCAACCAGCTTTGGCCTGTAACAGGCAAAGGCTGCCTGCAGAGCAGTCTGTGCTGCACAGCTTTTCCTTCAGCTGTGCTCTGACCTGTGAGTAGGGCTTGGCAATAATAACAAATCAGAAGATGTGAGCTAGAAGAAGATGCCTGGGGAGGACCTGGGTCAGAGAACGAAGTAACTTTGGGATGATTTCTGCTGTATAGAATTAAAAAAGAGGTGTAGGACCTTGTGGCTGCCAGGGCCTCTACACTGCTGATGCTGACTGTCCGAGTGAGCTCTCCTCCTTCTAGCTCCCTCCCCTCAGCAGCAGCCCTTCATGTATTGCTCTGGGAGGTGTCTTCCTGTCTCTCCCAAGTGATCCATTCCTCTGCTTAGAGACTTGGTCATCTAAGGGCAGTTAGAGGAACAGTTGCAGTTTATCTGGGAAGGTTGCAGCTTCCTCAGCAGGGTGGTGCTAGGTTTTCTTGCTGCAGAATTGGAACATCTCATGCTACTGCACTGGGGATGCACAAAGCAAGGAGGTCTAAACAGGGGCAAGTCTACTGCTCCCATGGTTTAGCCTACAATTCACAGCAGCAATTCACTGCTCTGGGTAATGTATCCCCCCAGATGACATGCAGTGTCTCTTGACATGTCACGTCATGACTCTTGATCTGTCACTTGACATGGTGGGAAAACATGCTGAGACTGTCCCATTTCACTGGGCCTTATTTGCCCTTTGGAAAGGAACAAAGGAAGGACTGGATGCTATGTAAAATATTTTGGAAAACTAATGGTTTAGAACTGCTGGTGCTTTGGTATTCAGTGAAATGCTTCGTTGAAGATGGACTACTGAAGAGAAGTCAAGGAGTTGTAAAACTATTTTTAATTATTACATACAAGCTTAGGTCAGAATACGAATATTTATTGGTATGGAATGGTGCTTTTGAAAAGTTAAATCCTAAAGTAAGTTTGAGTGCAGAGTACAGGCCCATTACTTTGTTTTCCATATGGCTGAACTACTAATTGTCCTTAGAATACTCTAAAGGTGGCCATACATCTTTACCATCAACTCATGTATGTGTGCTTAAAACTTGACTGGTCACAGACCTTGAGTGTTGGTACATGCTATTTAGACCCTAAAGAGTATTCTTGTGAGATGAAAATAATAGTGTCTATCTAAAGAAAAAAAGAAAAGCAGTAATTCAGCAGTGTGGTGCAGTTTGGAATTTTATGGTCCACCTTCAGAACACAGTGTGTTATAGTAACTTTGGGCAGATAATTTTCTGTGATTGTAGGATGAATGAAAGTTCTATGAGCTGCTCGCTTTTTATTAGCATATCATAGCTTGTAAATCATGCTGTGTTAGTAAAGGGCTGGTGTTTCTCACAGGTCAATGTTAGTCTTCTTAACGTTCTTCCAAATTTATTCAAAGTTTAAAAAAGAAAAAACTGCCATGCATTTTTGTATATTCATAGAAGTCCTTAATTGGCTAACAGACGTACTTCAGTATTATTCCCAGGAACTAAACATGTCTTGTACTCTGGTGGTATTCTTAGCCTGAGAAACAGATAACATGCAATAGCCAGTGAGTCACTGTGCCCAGCACTGCTTTTCCTTCACAGTGGTTTTAAGGAGGACAAATGCTTTGCTTTCCCAACTCTGTGTCTAATTTTAGTATGCCAGTGGGCCCAAGGACTTTCATGCCACCTTCTCAGATAATGTCATCCAAAACATTCAAACTTCAAAATGGCTGGGTGTTACAGCTGTGCTGTCTGACATTGTATCTGTGTATAAAACATCTCCTGCTCTTTGTGGATAAATACACAGGGGCACTAAATGGACATGAGGGAGATTTGTCTGGTTACAAAGCAGAATTTGACTCCTGGTATATTTGTGACAGTCATAAAAGAACCATAATCTGTTCTTTTTATGCTTTTGCATTACTGGGCTGCTAAGGGTAAATGTCTGCCTTGAAAGGAATTTAGATCTTGGAGCTCAAAATAACTGCTTTTCTATTTTCTTGAAAGGCGATGACTTGTCCAGAACATACATCTCTCTCTCCTCTGTTGTGTGTGTACACACACAGAGAAAAAGAAAAAAATGTGGATTTATAAGTAATGTTTTAGTAATTTCATTAATGCACATCTTGTCTAGTTTTATGACCACATATATTTTGCATCATAAGTCATGGCTGAATTTGACTTTGCTGTAATTTTCTGCTATTTATACTAGAAGAAATCCCTTGTGATCTCTATAAGCTATTTTAAATAAGTCTCGCAATCACCAAAAGCAGCAATATGAACTGATCTAAAGCTAGTGTGAGGAACTTTAGCTACACATTTAACTGCAGAAAAGAAATGAAAGCTTTTAAAGATCAGTAACGTTATATGTTTTGAAGACTTGTAGATTTGTTTGAGGCAGCCAGCCAAAGACAGCATTCATTTCCTTGCAGACTTTGGTACAATAGTGCTGCATGCCCAAAATCAGTGTTTAGTCCATGTGTAGCAGTGTGTTTAGAAGTGATGTATCCCCAAGGTTTTCTTCCCCTAGTATTTTAACCCATTGTTCTTATGTGCTTAAGCTGGACCTAAAAAACTTCTTAATATGTGTGGTTTTTCATGTAGTGCTGGATTCATGAGGGAAAAAAAGAAAAAGGAATTTTGTGTGACTGTAGATGTAAAAAATAGCATTTTATGCAAGTAAATGTCCACTTTAAAAACTGGAAATTTAAATGTCAATCCAAAATGTCTTCAAGTCATATCTGTTGTGTCATGAAGTGGTCATTAAACTGCAGCCACATTACCACATGGTTATTGGACAATTGCTTTAAAAAACATATAAAAGTGAAAAAGAGGAAACAGATTGTTACTGTGATTTCAGTTATTTCCCATTTGGTACTGAAAACCTATCATACAGTGTGTTTAAAATATGTTTTAAAATATAAAACTCTAAATTATTTGAGCTTTAAAATATAAAACTCTAAATTAATTGAGCTTTATGGAGCTAGAAAGTGGCAGTATTGATTGAATTCAATGTTACCTATTTTCAAGTCCAAAATGTCCCACACCCAAATGAAAATCAGAAAAAGAGGTAATGTAATTTCATTTTGAAAATTATCACTGCAAAATGATTTTTCCAGAAAGAAAATAATTGAACTGCAATGAAAAAAGTTTTGTATTTATAATAGCTTGATCAGTCTTCTAAAATAAGCAATTCTTTATACATGCAATTAAAAGTGCTTTCATATTTAGTTTCATGCTATTTACTTTTTTTTCTATGACAAAGTCTCTCACATTGTTTTTAATACAGGTATCTATCCATTCCAGAACTAATTTTTTCTACAGCCAGAGACTGACATGGCATGACTGGAGTTTTAAGTAATTTGGCTTTGACAGTTTCACCATTTGCTGAGAAGCTGGAACAGAATTTGAACTCTATTTCTGCACTATCCTAGGTTATAATGCCATCCTTTCCTAATGAGGGAGGTATGCTAGTCTTGGATTTTTAATATGAATTATTCAGTATGCTTGTACCTATAAATTGTGATGGAGTACTGTTTGTATTTTTAGTTAATTTGTATATGTTATTTGAGATATAAAAATGTTAATAGTTACAACATTATTTTTCAAAGATAACCATGGAACTGCTTCTCTGACTTTGAGTTCAGAACTACCCTATCAGAGCACAATTAAAAGAAAAGTCAGAAAAAAGAAGAAGAATGGAGTCATCACTGCCAATATTGCTGGCACAAAATACGAAATTGGTAGGAAGCTGCATATTTTGTTTTCATCCTAATAGCCTTTGATGTGAGAGAGGTACTGATTAATGGAGGGAATTAATGGACTCTGCATCAACCTGACAGTGAGACATTTCTGAAGGAGTTTCTTTTATAAGAAATCTGGGGTTTTCTTGTAACATTTGATTCATAGCTTTGGATACTGTGTATCTAGTAACCCCCCTGTGTTACTCATATTAATTCCTGCTTGTTACCTTGAAATGTAAAAACTTAAGTAATCAAGAAGGCTGTGGAAGAGCCTTCTAAATATGTGTTATATATGTGTTTGGAAGTTTACTTAAAGCCTTGAAAGATGAACAGTGTAAATTCAATGTTAAATACTCTAATTATTATACAGAGGCTTCTCAGTAAAATCTGTTAAGGTTTTGGATTTTCATGTTTAGTGCTGAAATATTTTGTTCCTAGAATCAGAGGTACACATGGCATGTAATCAGTCTTTTTTTTTTAAATTAAAATAATGCATGCATTTACTTTTGCAACACTGTACCTTCTCTAAGGAGGCATTTTTGTCTCTATCTGCAGTGACACTTATAGTCATCACTGTTTTAAAAGTAACTTATGGCATAAGCAAAATTAAATCTAACTGCTGTACAAGGGGATTTGTGCTGGATGATTGGGGAATACCTTGAAGCTCTTTGCAGTTCCCATCAGTGGTTGTGCTGATTCCTGCCTCACTATAAGGTGCTGGGACATTGTAATGACAGGTTTGCAATAGACTGATGGAAATATTGCAAGATAAATAGCTTGCCATGCTAACATTGTTCTCAGACGAAGGGTTCTATATTGGAAGTATTTAAAATGTTAATTGATTTTTTTAAATGTTGAAAATTAATCTATTTTAGAGATTCAAAATAGTCCCTAAGAGTGTGATTTCTCCACAGTGCGTGTAGTAATACAAGAGATGGGATTTGTGAAAACGCGTGATGAGGATGAAACAGCAAATCTGATCTGGAGTGATTGTGCTGTGCAGCAAGAGAAGATTGCTGAGCTGCAGAACTATCAGGTGCAGTGGTAGTTAAGATTTTTGACATGTTTCCATAAACTGCTTTACTCTGAAATGTTCAGTAATTGTCAGTAGCTGCTCAGTTCTGTTTGTGTAGAAAAAATCCCCACACAAACCACAGCCAAATAGGCTGCATTAAGGCTGTACCACTGCATAGCTTAAAATCCTCTTCTGTTTTCCAGAGTTATTTGTTCTTACAAACAAACAAATTAAGGCTGTACCACTGCATAGCTTAAAATCCTATTCTCTTTTCCAGAGTTATTTGTTCTTACCACTTGGAATCTGGTGTATAAATATTTGGGGCTGTTCTTTCATGCTTTTTTCTGCCAGTTGGGTGTTGTGAATGATCAATTTAAAGAAGACACAAAACATCATTTATAAGTTTCTCATAAGCTTTGAAGCAGTAAGTTAAGAAACAGAGCTCTCTCTCCACAGTCCTGTGAATAAATATTTTGGTTTTTGTACCATTATCTTGTGTTTGAATTCTTTGTTTCTAGATAGCTTTGTGAATAAAAGTATGATAGTCTCATGTATGAAATTAAATCAATGGGCACTTATATGGATGGAAGAGAATACAACTTGCAGCATCTTTAACATTGTTAAGAATAGGTACTATAGCGCAAGATATTATTTTAAATAATTTAGATGTAGCAGTACTTGTGTTTGCCTGAGCATGCAGTTGAATGTTTTAAATTACTGTAATTAGGTATGCCAGAGAAATGAAAAAGTTTCAATTAATTTTCCTTTTTTTTTCTACTTCCTCAGAGAATCAACCATTTTCCAGGAATGGGAGAGATATGCAGAAAGGATTTTCTGGCAAGAAACATGACTAAGTAATATTTCTTTTAATATTAAGAAGTTTTCCAGCTGTGGTATTTAATGCAATAATATACAGAACTATTGCTTTTGAGGCTTGTTTATTTTTACTAAGAAACTAGGAGAGGACCAAGAATAATTTTCCAAGTTCTTTAATAACTTTAGCTTTGGTCCTGGATCTGTAGCATTAGAGTGGGCTACTTTATTTCTCCAATTGACTTCAGTGGAGTATTATGTGGGTTCACTTCTCTATCTAAACACTGCAGAATGTGGGTGAGTTTTGAATTATTGTACAATAAACCTAATACATAATACACCCACGTATGTATCCCATAATAGTAGAACAGAATAAAAGAACTGTATGTGGCTGGATAGTGCATCTGGACTATCCTGTGCAATGTGCTGTAGGATAGCCCTGCTTCATCTGGGATGCTGGACCTGAGGACCCACTGAAGTCCCTTCCAACCTGACCAATTCTTTGATAGTACTTGTTTAAAATGATTAATAGCTATATTTTTGTGTATATCAAATTTTAAAAATGTGAAGCATCTTAATGTTTATATAACAAATTAGTCAGTGAGGCTCATTTCTCTAATTACAAATTCTCCTCACTCTAGTGGAATAACTGGGTTCTGAGGAATTATCCTAGCTGAGAATCTGTGAGTAAGACTTGTAAGAAAACAATACTAAATAATGATCTGATAGCCTAGTAAGGAAAGGTTTGAGGGTAAATATATGTCAATATTTTGTTCTAATCTAAATTAGTTTGTAAAGCAGTTATTAATAGAGCTAATCATTTGGCCTTCAACTTGACTTACACAACTTAACTGCTAACAGAACAGAATTTGTTTTCATACAAATGTAATTAATGTAGTATCTTCTCTCTCTCTCTCTGTCTCTCTCTCAATTTCTTTCTCTTTTCTGTTCTGTAACTAGAACACATAACATGTAGAATGTATGAAACTATTATGATGCAAATACTGTGTGCATTGGTGTCGTGTCTCCATGTCCTACATGTGGACTAGAGCTCCCCTGTGTCAGTGGTGCTGCACAAGCACTTTTCTGTGCCCCTCTGAGACTGAAAGGAAAAACAGAGACAGCACATAGAGGCAAACAGCTGTTTGGAGAAGTCTTGGAAACAGCCAGTCAGCTTGGTACACAGTGTATTGCTGCAGTTCTGTGATAGTTTGTAAAACATATGGAAAACGGACAAAAAGCTCTTGTTTTCATGCACTCATTCTTTCAAATACAGCCTGATGATACCTCTTTCAACCTACTGAATTCTGAGTTCAGAACACAGTTTAAAGTTACTCATTGCTGAGATGGCACATACAGATAAGATGGGAATAATTTCTCTTACACCATAACACTGGCTCAAACATTTGTGTTGTGACTTCACTTAATATCAGTAGATATAGCAGGGCTTAATCAGTTGGGTTTTTTTTTCAATACTGGCCCTCACAACTCAATACTTAGTATTCATACTTTATAAAAATCAAAGTGATATGCCTTGAGATTGCTGGTGAAATCCTAAGTCACTTGGGATACGTGGTTGAGCAGGCTCTTTCCTGTAGAATGCAGGATTTTGTTTCCTACACCTCTTGTTCTGTCTTAAAATTTGGATGTGTAGAAACACTAATTCTCTTGTCTTGTTTAGTGCTGCATGCCATCTTTTCTATTCCCATTACTGACTGCTGGTTACTATCATTGAGAGATAATGAAACTATATTGAGAATTGGTAGAGTGTACTTTTTTTTCTTTTACTTCCAAGTTTGTTGCTGTACTGAATTCCGTAAACAGAGGAGAAGGTGCACAGGATGATTGGGAAAGGGCATGGATCCATCTATGCAATATTGTCTTTTCCAGCACCTTTGTTGATTATACTTAAAAGGTTCATTAACTGATCATGGGCCAAGAATCATTCTCATCCATATATATCCACTAACTTTTCATATGTGAAAAGTCAGAGGATTTTGAAATTTAGGCAGTGGAATCTGTGTTATTAGACTGAAGGTTGTGCCTTTAGTGAGCTATGTTTTGTTCCAACACCATTGATTCTTTTGTACAGAAAGCGCTCAGATCAAGAGCACAGTCTGACCACATTTGTGAGCTAAAATAGTACTCAGAAGAACAATAATTTGCTGTTTATTTCTCCTGATAAGCACAGCAAAAGCTAAAGGATAGAGGAGCACAGTGAAAAAGTGGTTACTCATAGTAGTGGACAGCCCATGTGCTGAAAAATAGGGCTATTGTAATGGGATAGGCCTTGATTCCACAGGCTACTTAATGATGTTCCTAAGCCCTTTCTGAATGGGGCCTTGCAGGGAAAGAACAGAGCTGAATTCTTTTTTTGAAAGTTTTAGTGAGCCTCAGAACTTATAAACAATGCTGAAGTATTCCACTTCATAATATTAAGTGTAATGTACCCAGTTCAGTTATGCATTAAAAAGATAAGGCATATGGAACTGATATACTTTCAGTCACAAAACAGTATCAATATATTGGAATAGTTTGAAGCTTTATTCAGTGAGTAGGGTGTGTGTATATTGAAACCCTTGAGTAAGTTAAATGGCAGGTCTCTAGCATGTAACAGGATGCATATGATAAATAATCTGGAGAGGGATTTAAACTAACACAGAAATTGCTTTTTGCCTAAAAATAGGATAATTTCTGCCTAGATAAGGTACTCAGTTGGCAAAGTAATAACATTTGTAAAGACAGAGCAGATGGAGAGTTGTTTAACAATATGAATGAATCAGGAATTCAAATATCTACTTCTGTTTTCAAAAAGTTTTCCTGAATATTTAGTGGCTTTCATTGAAGTAGATTTGTGAGAACAATAGTTACAATGAAGCTGCAGAAGCACTGAACCTCATGCAGTTCTGCTGTAGCTATTGTGGTTTCTGCACAGTGTTTGTTGGGTAGTTGGCTACACAGTTTGGTGACAGTGTATCCATTATACCAGTGGGGCTTGGCTACAGTCCTAGTCCTACACATGTGGCTGAAAAAAAGCTCTGTTTTTCCCATTAGTATTTTAGCCACTTAAAGAAAAAGTATCTGCCCAAGAGTATTACGTAAGCTCATAGTAGAAAAGAAAATTAGAAATGATATTTCCTCTTTTACACATTAGTTATGCTGATGATATTAGTTTTCAGTACAAAAGGAGAAATATACCTAAATCTGTATTTAATTAAAAAATATTAAGCTTCACCATAGTGGCATTAAAAAAAAAAAATCAAAGTTGGGGAACATCCTGTATCACTTAATTTCTTTTTAAACTTCCAATTCTTTGCTCTTGGTCTGTGGATATTTGTATTTGGATGTGTCCACTCTATGCTACAGAGTAGTTGTGAGTTACCTGAACTAATTTTGTCCGAGGTTCTGTATGAAGGAAGTTTCAGGTACTCTGAGTACATGAAACAACCTAGCTGCACCAGTATGAAACTCAACAAAGACTAAATTTATCCTTGGGAACTATGACACCAGTGTACAACCTCCAAGTCCCCATTGCTGCTGTGCCTTGGCTGCTAACCAGGGTTAAAGCAGCCCGTGTGTACCTCAGCCGTACTGACAGCACGTGTGGGTGCATCTTCTTGTCTGCCACAAACACAGCTCTGGGTGATGGACACTTCTACTACCTGAATTCCTTACCATTCTTCTTCTTCCATTTTTCTTCACAAATAATGGAGGTATGGAATGAGATGCACTCACTACTTTAGCTGCCACAGCCATTAAAGCAGGGAGATCAGGATCTTGCTGCATTCTTTCCCCAGATTCAGAGTTTGATTCCCTATTTTTATTTTAGTTCTTTTACTCCACCCCTTCATCCCACTCCCTTCCTGCTTGATCTTGCTTTGAATGTCTTTGCTTTCTTTTGATTAAATTAGGTGCTCTTGGAATCTTAATCCAAATATACTGGGACCAAAGACTAATCAAAGCTTGTGTGATTTGTCCTATGTAGGAAATGAATGAGTTGATTGGCCTATGTCAAAGTCTATTTACTACAATTCCTTATTTTTAAAATTCTTTCAAAAGGAACAAAAATCTCTTCCTTAATTACTTCCAATTTTAATTTTAATTTTAAATTCAGTCTTTTTTGCACCCAAGAAGAAACTCCAAATATCCCAACTCTTCTTTTTTGTGTCTTTTGATCCTCATAGCTCCCCAGACACCTACCAGTATGAAAATTAAAATACTTCCCAAATACCACCACCCCTCCCAAAAAAAACCAACCATGGTTTATTATAAGTTCAATATTTCTAAGAATAGGAATAGCATTAAGTCATTTGAGTAAATGGCCAAAAATTGTAACAGGAGTGAGATGGATGCCAAGAAGCAAGATGGATACCAGTAGCATAATAAGCACTTAAACAAAAATGCTCAAGATAGTCTGCTTTTGAATCTAACACATTCACACTCATATGAATATGTAATAGAGCTCTAACTATTCTTAAAGAAATGCAAAAGTTTGCTTTCATATTACAGAATTTTGCTGAAAAAGCTCCCTTGTCATATTGTCATGAGTGCTTTTTAATCTTGAGGATTAAAACATCAAAGTAGTCAAAAGATTTTAACTCAATTACCCTTTTTGTGCAGAATGATCAAGAGTCAGCCTCAGGAGTACAGTTTCATTCCTCGAACGTGGATCTTTCCTGCAGAATACACACAGTTTCAGAACTATGTAAAAGAATTGAAGAAGAAACGTAGACAGAAAACTTTCATAGTCAAACCAGCTAATGGTGCAATGGGACATGGGTGAGTTGTGAGTTAACTTCAGTCTTCCTACCTGTTAAAGGTGAAATCCAGTGCTACTTACAACATTAACAGAAGCTGTGTATTAACAAGAAGATTGTATTTTGAGTTGTGTGAAAGTCAGTGTACTGGGTGAAGGCTTCACAAGCCTTAAATAAACTCAAATAATTATTATGAACACAGTTATTTTATTGTGAATTTTTTGCTTTGCTTAGATTTATAGGTGAGATTGTATTGGGCATAAATGGCAGGGTTTTGGTGGCTGGAGGCTGCAGGGATGTGTGGGAGGTCAGGATGTTTCGCAGCTTTAAAACCAGCTAAAACACCCCATTGTGTTCCCAAACTGCAGCCAGTCACAGAAGCAGAAACGTGTTTGAGAGCAGCAGCCACAAGGTTTAGGAGAGACAGAGGAGATGCTGTTGGGGATGTGGCTGGATGTGCACTCTTGGAAGCAGGGCACACCCCTGAAGAGACTGCAACCTGCAGTTGAGTTGAAGAAGTTTTGTTTGTGACAGGGCTGCACAGTAAAAATCCAATGAGATAAATATTGTAATTGTATTTTTAGTTCTTTTTCCCCCCAATATTTTGGTTTTAGATTTTATTGCTTTTAATATCAATTTGAATTATACTATATAGTAAAGCTCTTAGTTTTTCAACCTATGTCAGAATTACTACAAAAGTAATGCCCCCAAACTTTTCAATTTCTTCATTTTTCAGTCCTCTTGATAAGGGCAAAGATGAGCTAAAGGGAAAGGTACCAGCATAGTTCAGAGAAATTTCTGCAGAGTACTTCACTCTATTAGGAGTATTCAGTACCAAACCTCTGAAATATATAATAAATAATAGAGAATAAGGTTAAGGTAGCATTAAGGTTCTGGGAATTTTAGGTTAATAATTCTATACTGAAAATATTAGCTTTTACCGTTATTTAAAAGTCTATGTGGTTGGAGATTGGAAGTTCATAGTTTTATATAAACCTTTTTTAATTCTGGTGTGAGCAAACTGGAAATACAGAAATACTGCGCTTAATCTATGCCATCCTCAGTCATACAGATCAGTGTCCTGCTTTGCAAACTTCATCACCTAAGGTTAGCACTGAAACTTCTTTGCAGCCTGTGCCTTGGGCAGAAGTTATGACAAAGACTGGAATTCTATTTTTAGAGCTGCATGAGGAATAATCACAGAAGCTGGAGACTGGTCGTTCTGCCAAACAATTTCTAAGTGTAGAGCAAACCCATTATTATGAATTGTTGAATCAAAGCAAGCAGAAAGTTACTTTGAAATGGCTCGTTGGCTTTTTTCATCTAGTGAAGCACAATAAAGGACAGGAAACCAAAAGCCCTGTAAGGGAATGGAGCTTTTTCTCTGCCCTAAAAATCATATATCTAAGTCTCTTTCTCTAGGTAGACTTTAGCCTCACTACTTGGCTGGGTGACCACAATAATCTGTTTCAAAGAGTAATGTCCAAGTTTTAAAATAACTTTTGTTTTTACCAGGATCTCTTTAATAAGGAATGGAGAAAAGTTACAAGCTCAGGATCACTTAATTGTTCAGGAATATCTTGACAAACCATTTCTTATGGAAGGCTACAAGTTTGATTTACGTGTGTATATTCTTGTAACCTCCTGTGATCCATTAAAAATATTTTTATATCATGATGGACTGGTGAGAATGGGCACGGAAAAGTATCACCCCCCCAGCGACTCAAATTTGGTAAGTTGGAGTTCATTCCAATTTATTGCTTATGGTATAGACTTTAACCTGTGTAGTGTTTGCAGGTGGTAAAATTAAATAAACTGCTTGAGTTCATCTGGGTAATAAACTTCTGTATTGTCACTGAAGAGAAAAAATTTTATGTGAAAGATACTTAACACATGGTTTTCTACCAAAATCACAAGTATAGCCACATTATTCCTTATATATAAAATTTTATATGACTTTGCATGTATATGTGCTAAAGAGTTTAAATATATTCTAGAGGAAAGCAAAAGATAACAACCCAAAAAATAAAATCAAATCACTGCAAGAATGGGCACATTGCTTTTATGTTCGTCTGAGACTGAGGCTAGGGTGGCAGGTGCTAGTAAGGTTTATCTCCTGCTAGATCATTGCTTAGCATCCATGAAGTTTGAAGCCTTTTTTGAGGGTTCTGCCAGGTTTCAGCCATTGTGTTGGGAACTGACACAGAAAGGAGAGAACCAGCACTGCAAGGGCCCAGTGCTCACTGCAGTCCCTGAACACGAGGGAATCTCCTGCTGCTGCTGCTGTTTGTCAGTGAGAGCCTCAGCAGGGACAGGAGTATGTGCTTGGCAGCTTTAGGGTGATTCAGTAGAGCTGCTGGTAAACACAGAGAAAACCAAGAAATAGTAAGGGTCACGCTAAAGATTTTGCACAATTTCCTCCTCTTGTTCTACTATATAGCATGTTGCCCTGTTGGGGGGTATAAACCTTTCTCTTTTGGCTCCGACCAAGATGTCTAAGAAAGAAGTAGATTTGCAGCACTGGAAGATGTTAGTAGATTAGGTTTGTTATACCTCTGTCTGTACTCCATTGCTTTTAGAGCAGCTTCCATGTAATTATGTAATAGAAAACACCATAGAGCCTTTTTGCCTACGTGAAACTTAAAATTCTGACTGTCTCTTGTGTGCCTTTGAAAAACGCAGGTACAATCTGAGGCCCAGTACAAATGCTATATTTGGAAATGTTCCAGTACTATATTTGGAATAGTTTGCTTTTACAATTTGTGTATTGCTGCTAATCTCGGCATTAGCAGCACTGAAATATGCTCTGAGAGGATAAACAGAGCAGGCAGTTGTTTCTATGTTCTCAGAACTGTTCATGCTGGAGGTTGTCTATTGTGTGAAATAACCTGCTTGTCACTAATGACATTGTTCTTGGATGACATATTTGCACAGTGACATTGTTCCAAATAACTTTGGACTATCAGTTCAGATGCCCAAACACCTTTTTTTTTTTTGGTAGTCTAACACATAGTTACTTTTGTCTGAAATAATTTGAATGGAAAGATGACTCAAACTCAATAGATTTCATAATGATTGTTAAAGGAGTAATGAAGCCATGGGAGAAATTAGTTATTTCTAGTGCTACTCATTAATACTGTTAACTCATTTGCAATTATATTGATTGGTTTTTGTAATTTCATTAAGTTTTTTAAAGATAAGGAAGTGTAGTAAGATAAATGACAGCAGAAGGCTTGTGTTATCTATTAAAGATTAATTGGAACAGAAGGCTTATGGTCATCCTAGAATATCATCTACTCTCATGTATGTAATCAAACATGACAGAGAACTGTCACTGTGATGAGAACAGGTATCACCATAGTATAAGTGAAAAACTGAATTAATCTCTCAGACATAATGTAAATGTACAGATCATGGCTTATAAATTGACCTTGGAAAAGGAATACTTTCTTTAAATTCAACTGATAATGTGAGTCTATTGCTGCTGACATTTTGCTCCACAAAGGAACTGTAGCACTCAGTCACTTACGTAACGTATGTTTTGAAATTTACCTCCCTCTGATGTATGGCTACCAGCCAGTTACAAATGAGCAATTTTGGCAGATATCAGCATGGCAGATGAGTTTATATGTAAAAGATATTTTAAAGTATCACTATCATGAGAACACTTCTCATAAATAAGCTACAGTGAAAACTGAAATGTGGGATTGTCTATGAAGCAGATGCCAGAGTATCTTTTAGCACTTTTAAAGTAGCACTTCAAAATACTGACTTTATTGTTTGCTTCTTGTGGAATGTAATCATTCTCTAAGTTATGATAATAGCTCTTTACTTTTTTAGGTAGTTGTTTATATAGAGACCTGTAAAAATGGCAGATACAGTATCTCACCAGATGTAGAGTGGTGGATCAGTTCACTGCATTGGCTTAAGTAGAAGCCCAGGTTTTGTTGTAAGAAGGCTACGGAGCATTCAGTCATGCAATCTCCCAGAATCAGAAACACTACATCTGCACATTTTGTATTTGCAAATATGAGCTGTTTGATTATGTCCTTATTGATTTAATGTCAAATTTTCTTTACATGATTTTGAATTGACTATTTTAGAATTGTTTTTAAAGTTTTTAAAATGTCTTTTCTTCCTTTTTTTAGAGTCAATTGTATATGCATCTGACTAACTACTCTGTCAATAAACATAATGAACACTTTGAACGGGATGAAACAGAAGACAAAGGAAGCAAACGCTCCATCAAATGGTTTACTGAGTTTCTAGAAACAAATAATCTTGATGTCTCCAAATTCTGGAGTGATATTTCAGTAAGATAGACTAAAGCACTTTATTTTATTTTGTGTATTTTTAGAAAATTAATTGCTTCTGCCATCTGCTTTACTGCAATTCAGAATGATTTTTGAAACTTTATTAACCCAAATTTTCAGCAATGGATGTCACAAAGGACATACTATAAACTATTATTATGTTTTTTAAAAGACTAAATTCATAGTCTGATTACAAATTAAATGTTGGCATTTTTTCTGGTTCAAAAGTCCTTTCAAGCAGTTATTGACATAAGTAATATGGTACAAAGGACTCATGCTATTTAAACTCTTGGTGACTTTATTTTAGTGTATAAAGTGAACTTTATGTGTAAATATTTACAAAATTGTAGTCAGTGTTGCATATATCTTTGTACTTACTCAAGCACCATTGAAGTGGTTGTGTTTACAGGTATCTTTAGATGAGGAATAGGCTTGATTGTTAGAGCTTAAAGCTGTTTGTATGATTCTGAGAACACTTATCAAAAGTTATACTGAAAAATGAAATGGATGAAGATTGGCTATACTATACTATGTTACCAATTTGCTTTTATTATTTAACTTATTGCAAGTCTCAAAATTTATATGTACCATTGAAATTACAACAATAGTCTAGAACTATATAAAGTTATATATGGTACTACATAGGAATAGTTTGTTTACTATAGACTATTTATTTGGTATTTTAAATATTTTTTTTCTAGTAGATATGTAAATGAAATTGAAGATATTAAAGCACTGTAGTTCAGTATGTGCTGGTGTTTTCTCTCCTGATGAATTTTTCTGACCCAAATCCCTGCAGGAGCTGGTGGTGAAGACTCTGATAGTTGCAGAGCCACATGTGCTTCATGCTTATCGCATGTGCAGGCCAGGGCAAGCACCAGGAAGTGACAGTGTCTGCTTTGAAGTCCTGGGATTTGATATTCTGCTGGACAGAAAACTAAAACCATGGCTCCTAGAGGTAAACCTCTTTATACAGATGTAAAGTAAATTTTTAGGCATAAAGTTAACTAAGCCTCAGCTGAATCCATATCTATGTAAGAAAACCTGCAAGGAAAATCTGTGCACTGTTGTTGAGTACATAAATGCTGATTTTCTGCAGCCTCCATACAGAAGTGCAGTATCATCTTGCAGTGATTTTTGATACTGAAAAAAGGTTATTGTTTTCATGGACCGATATTGCATTTCAGATATTTTTGAAAGTTTTAATGGGAAATGTAACGTTAATGTAATTGTTATTGTAGCTGGAGGACCTTGATTATAGCAAGTGGGTGCTACATAGATTTCCTTCATGAGTATGGCTATGTAGTATGGCTCTGGTAACTTTTGTGGATGTGTTAATCTTTTCCTTTGTGGATATCTGTTCTTTTCCTTTTTGTGTTAATCTTTTCCTTTTTGTGGATATGTGTTCTTTTCCTCTCCTGTGCTTTTTAAAAGCACTGCCATAAACAGAGAAAACAAATTTGAGATACAGGAAATTCTGCAAACAATTGGTATGATGGGATTGGAAGAAGCATTTCTTCTCTGATATGTTTGTTAGTGATACAGTTAAATTAAGTGGTGCTCACACACATTTTCAACCAGAAATGTTTGAATTTTGTCTGTTGTGTCTCTTATATTGCCCTATTAATAACTTATAGATGACATTCACTTGTCTTTTTTCAGATTGTCTTATTTCATTCTGTTAACTAGTTGGGGAGCTGTGCAGCTTGGGGAAAAAAGCAAAATGTATTCAAAATCTCTCTATTGACAGCAAATCATGAACATGATTTGGCGACTGATGAACAAAATGTACACAATTAACTTACTGAATTATAACCTCATTTGCAGGCCATTAATACTGTCAACAGTTGTTTTGTTGTGCTTATTTCTCTCAGGGATTCATTATAATTTTAATTAGAAAAATAAAATTCCTCCACAGTTGCCATGCAGACATAGCATATTTGGTGGCTTTGATGTTCTCGCCAACAGCAGCGCATGACATGAACTTAGTCTGTACTACATCAACATCTTCTGTTTTTGTCCAGTGAAGCTTGCTGTCCCTTTGATTTAGCACTGCACTTCCAGATTATCATCTGTAGGTTGCCTGTAGCTTGCATATAACTGTGTGTAGTGATTGGAGTGCAGCCTGAAGGGTCTGTGTAACATTTCATTCAGCCTCGTAGCAAATGCTGACAGATCAATTCTGTGAGAGGTGGTGAGTCAGCCAGCACAGGGAGTCCATCCTGAAGGACAGCTCTCTGTCTGCTCTGATGTTTCCATGAGCTATGGAGATTTTGGGGGGTTTGAGTCACCACTTATGGGTCTCAGAGGAGAATATATTATCCCAAACTCCTTGTTTAGGAGGGAGTAAAGTAGTAAATGCTCCTGGTATTTGGAGTTGCTGGAGAATACTTCAGGACTTGGAATTGTGTACCTAGTTATTACTTTTCTTAAAAGCAAAAGTCCAAGTATTTCCTTTTCTGCTTTTGGTAATACATGTACCCTTCAGCTTGTTTTGCCAGACATTTACCAAAACTAACAGAAATTTCAAACTTTGAAACTTGCTAATTTTGCATACTCATTTACTATTTTTTACCTTGCTTGTTCATGCTTTTTTGCAGCACTTCCAACAGAGTGTGTAGATGTATGCACATTGTATGTATGCTGTGTGTAGTGTAGTAAAGGTCAAATCTGCAGTCTATGTACATAGACCACACATAATATATATAGTCTGTGTGTGTGTATATATATATATATGCACATATATAGATAATTCTTTTTTTCTAAAACACTTGTGCTACTTCCACAGATTTCCACTCTTATCTCTTTCCACCATTTTCCTCTTGCCAAAACCCCCTTAGGGGAGTGAATCATTCTTTCTAACAGTGGTAACAAGTCCTAATCACAAGGCCCTGAATGTTCCCAGTGTTATGGGAAAATTGCCAAAGTAGGATTAGGATGATTAGTTTCATGTTTCCATGCCTCATGTAGCTTTTCTGTTATAAAGATAGCTTAACAAACTATTAAAAGAAATAAATTGTGCAACATATTATAATGTTTCTGCTTTCCTGAGTTGACTTTTGTTTATATTGCTTTGATGCATTGTAGCTCCCCTGCTCCTTGATGCTATTGAACTTCCGGAACCTTCTACCATAGTGAGGGTTGTGGGAAATGCAGGATTGCCATCTTGTGGCACCAAGTGTTTCTGGCAAGGATCTGTGCAGCCTCCATCCTTTCTGAGTAGTAACAATGACCTAGACCTCCCTTCAATTCCCAGGAAATCCAGTTTTACTTTTTGACCAAAATTTCCAAGTTACTTTATTTTATGTGAAAGAAAACCATACAGTTGAAGTTCTTGGATGGACTCCAGCCTTGTTCACCCTCATTATATTCAGTTAGGATCACACAGTTGTGATCATTGGAGAAAAAGATAACTTGCATTTTAATAACTTCCTCAAGTGCAGGGTACCTAACTTCCTTTGTGATTTATGTGGGCAAGGCAAAGGAAACCTTACATACACATTCAGAAATCTATTATTTACTGTCACTAAGCTGTGTTCAAAATCTGTTCAAAACTTTGTTATCAATCCAGGTGAAATGAATGTGAACATCTTAAACCAATCAATTATTGCTAATTCCTAATAATGAAGTAGTTAAAGTTCACATACACAAACTTTGTGGCATCTGCTTGTTTCTCTTGTGTTATGCTTGCCCTGTTTGTATCCGTGGAGGTCCAAAGGCCACGGGGTAGGAGAAGTCTACTTTTCCAAAAAGAGATGGTAGGTGGTTATGCCAAGTTTTCAGTGTCTTATGTTCTTCACCAGGAAGAACACACTCTTGATGGTGAAGTTTTCTTCATCTTTGCTCTTAATTTCACGTTGGTGTTTTTTTTTTGGTTTTTTTTTTTTTTTTTTTTGCTGCCATGATCTACTTACTGGCTGTTCATTTACTGGCCAGCAATTGCACATGGTCTCCAAATTTTACCACAAGTCCTTTACAGCTCCTGGAATCATGCCATGTGCTTTCTTTGTTACCTCTAGACCCAGTATTATCTAGTTTACAAGACTGCATTCCTGTAGTGAACACAATTTGACCACTGGCATCAGTGTCTAGATTTTCAAGGCCTTTGCAATCATCATTTGCTTGTACTTTTGGGGTCCCTCATACAATCCTGTTTTTGACAACAATCTTCAAGATATGCCTTGCTGATAAAATTACTGATGTTATATTAACACAAGCTAGTTGTGCATGTCCTGGTTCTTGGGTCACTGAACTCTAAAGAACCATCTCCCAGCTGGCAGATGCACAGACAATGGTTTGGTAAGCTGTTATTGTGAATAGCTATTGTGGCATATCACTAGTAGGTTATCAGGATTACAATGCCACAGTCATACAGATTAGTCAGCAACCATATTTATTGTCTTCTTTGTGATATGGTAGTAGATAAACAGGTCAGTCTAAAGAGGTTGGTCAATTAAATATTTGGATGAAAGTCTTCCAAAAAAGAATATCTATAAATCTTTTCACTATTTCTGCTGAATTTTCAAGATTTTTCTTTCAACATCAGATCTCAGTGCTCACTTTGCCAGTCTGTCTGCAAAAGCAGCAAAGGGGCTGATTCCCAAAGGTGAAAGGTACCTGTCAATTATGAGCATGAGTGATGGGACAGCTGGGACACAGCAACAGGACACTGTTGGGTGGCACAGCATCCATGTTAGTTCTGTCCTACAACTGCAGAGGCTCTAAGATGCTCTAATATATTTAGAGTGTAAAACAAAAGAAACTGCTTAGGCCCTCTATTTTGGACATGCAAACTGTCTCCCACTTTTGATTTGTGTGGGGTCCAAGGCATTAGTTTTCACTTATGAAGCTCTTTTTTATCTGTACCTTCTGTAACCAGCACTGCTCATGCACTATCAAAGTGAGATTCCTACTTGTCATTGGCACCCATTACCCAAGTACAAATTTTTATACCAGCCTGGAAAGAGTTCCTAGAATAAATCATTGTTCCTCCTCAAATCTTCCTGAGAACTGAGGTTCTGCAGGGAGTCCAAAACTTGTCAGGGTTATAGGACGTTAAGTGTATGATTTAGTCTCACTAAGAGATTCCCAGCTGCATTTTTCTTGTTTCTCTATATTTATGGTAAAATTTTTAATCTCCAATCTTGTACTTAGCTTGTAAGCTTTTTGTTGTGGAGACTTAATTATCTTATGTTTTCACACTATGTACTGATTTAATGGCTTAGATCTCTACGTGTTGCTGTCAGGTGTATCTGAAAAGTTATTTAATATGCTTAAAAAGACCTTGGATTAGAGCCTCTTTCTGTCCCTTTATAGTTGTTACTTTTTAGAGTAGTATTTAAAGTTTCTTTCAGACTGGGAACTAGAAAAGAGTTTGACTCTTTCTGTGCTGGAGCACCACGTGGTGCCAGCATGGCACATCATCTGTTATGTGTTTAACAGCACTTTGTGTGGTAAATTTTCTGGTGGCAGCAGCCAAGAGTAGATTAGACTGGATTCACAATGGCAGGACTTGAATGGTGTTCACTGTAAATGTCTGGATAACCTGGTGACTGAAATGGTACATTTCCCAGCTTCCAGTATCTGTGATACTCAGTACTCTATTTAAAAAATATACAAATGGAAAAGACCTTCTCAACATGTATTCTCTTAATCTCTGCTGTATTTGAAAGAGCCATTTCTACAAAGCCTGTTACAATAGGTGTGTTCCCAGTGAACCTGAACATTCCCGAGTCTTCTGTGTCTCATTTTTTTTTCAGATTAATCGTGCCCCAAGCTTTGGAACAGATCAAAAAATAGACTATGATGTAAAAAAAGGTGTTCTGCTAAATGCATTAAAGCTTCTCAACATACGGTAGGTACCTTGTCCTCTTTTCTTCAGTCTGGCTCTATTTCTGTTGCTTTGATTTTTTTTTTTTTAATAAATTTAAATTGGACTTAGAGGAAATGAAAAACCTTTTTCCCACCTTCATATTTTCAAAATGTAAATGTTTCCCTTGCTGCCCGTTTTGCTATAGAAATTAACGTAAATTTAATTTTTCTTCATGCATATATGCTTGCAAAAATGAATGGTAATATTAATTTTCATACTTATTTTTAAAAATTTTTCAAAGACATCTTGAAGTTGGCATATGTGCAGTCATGGGTACATGGCCATAAAGGAAATTTACTTGAGTGATAGTGTCACATTCAGTCAAAAGCCATACCCCTCTAGAGGAAAACTTTGTAGCTATGTTCGAAAGAAATCTACACTTCAGGAAAATAGATATAACCACGTTTGTACATTAAATTGTAGCACAGAGTAAATACAGTATGAGATATGTTCGAAAGAAATCTACACCTCAGGAAAACAGATATAACTACGTTTGTACATTAAATTGTAGCACAGAGTAAATACAGTATCCATTAAAGTGTTAAAATTTTATAGCCATGAATGATAATATTAAAAAAAATCTTAATTAGTGTTTCAATTCTAATTTTATGTGATAAGCACATCTGACTGGAAAATACAGATTATTTACTTGATATGAAAGTTCATATAATTTTGGCTGCATTGAATTGATATTTCTTAATATCATCTGTGTTTCAGGACAAGTGATAAAAGGAAAAATTTAGCCCAGCAGAAGGCTGAGGCTCAAAAAAGACTGTATGGTCAAGGGTCAGTGAAAAAACTTTTGCCAGGTTCCTCAGACTGGGAGAAGCAGCGCCACACACTGGAAAGGAGAAAACAAGAACTGGTAGGAAGGGAAAAAAAGTGCTGTTTCTTCCTCATGCTTTATATTCTCTTTTGTTTTAATTGTCTTACTTTCTTGATTTGTAGAAGGAAAGACTTGCACAAGTACGTAAACAGATTTCCAAAGAGGAGCATGAAAATAGACACATGGGGAATTACAGGTGAATGTTTTTGACTGTATTAGTAGGAAATATTCAGTGTATTCTTTAGGAACAGTGGAAACAAGTATTTGTGGTAGATGATAATCTTATGCCAAAAATGTGTAGGCATTTATGGAAAATATGTACATATACATCAGGTATCTTTTTCCAGATGGTTCTTTTCTTGATTCCAATTTTTCCCATGCACTTAGGAATTTATATGGCATCAGTCACCCTATTGTTCGTGCAAGACATTTGCTTCAAAGACATGATTGCTCACATTCAGTGTACCAAGAATCATGACTGTTGTTATGGACCTGTTCTCTAATCACATATGATCATTCTTACCATGGTGGCAGGGGGTGCAGTATGATATTCCCCTGTAAAAATGTCATATTTGAATTGTGTCTCTGAGGCTTGCCAAAAATTCTGAAACTTTATGGGTGCTTCCATAATTTTGAATAGCATGACATTTGAAATACTTTACTTTTATTTTTGCATTTTGATTTTTGATCTTGGTAGGCTGAAATGTGAGTATCTTCAGATTCCTTGGTAAAATATGTTCAAAAGAGAGTTTTACATTGTCAGTTTCAACAGGCATTGACCAGAAAACAAAAATTTTGTTTTGCGATGTTTTTGTTATTTTTTCTTGTTATTTGCTTCATTGAGAATGGCCTAGGAATATTTGGTGAAAAGGAGCAGAGTGTGGCTAGCAATATATGATGGGAATATTTGCCCACTCTTTATAACATTCATCCTGAATGTTAGAACATATTTTATTGTGAACTACTCAGAATGCCTTTATTGCTGTTCTTCATTGCTGCCTTTTTTTGAGCAGATATTCTATATTTTCCAGTAAAATTCTCATTTAAACAGATAGATGTTTCTGTGAAATTCACATTTTTTTATGATTTAACATTTTGCTTGCAAAGACTCTTTCTTTGTAATTTTTAATTACATATTTTCTTGATGTGTGGAGCTGAACTAGTAAGTAAAAAAAAAAACTCTAGATGTACAATGAAGTGACAAAATGGTTATTTTCATGCTACTAAAAGAAAGAAATGCACTATGATGCTTTAACACATTTTTCTTTTTGCTAACTTAAATGTCTAGCTTATTAACTGATCACATTTTAAGTTGCATTTTCAGTTCTTGACTGAAAATCAGACATATGGTCCTTTATTTAGCTTTTGGGTTGATGTAAATCATTAAAACCCAATTTTTTTTCCTCAGGAAGAAATGAAGTGTCACTTCTTGAGGAATCTGAGTAAACTTTTAAAAAGGCAGAATAGCTTTGTGTTTTCTTATTACCGTGTCTTTGAGAAAAGGCTGAAGGATCAGCAGAACATGAGAAAGAAGTAATTTTGGCTAGAGAAGAAGAGGAATTTTATCTGAGAGTTATGCAGTATTTTCTCCATGTGATATTCTTCTGTAGAGCAGGACTGGATTGTGTCAGGCATTGACATAGAATCATGGAAATTCTGGATGCTAGTATTGCTGAATGGATTAATATTGCACTCTGAATAAAAATCCAGAGAAACCTCAGTCAGACTCAGGCGATTTGATTTAATCTGTGGATGTCAGCTCAGCAATTGCCTTAGTCCATGTCTGCAAGCACAGCAGGCTCCAGGAGGAGTTTTGGGGCAGCTGAAGTAGGACCCACACTTTCAAGCTCTTGTGAAATCATGAGGAATTGGAAAGGATGTACATGGCTTTGAAATGGCCTTTAGCTGCAGTCTGTTCTAAATACATTAAGGATATTACCCTTTCTTTAAAGCATTCTTGTATGGCATTTTTTTCTGCAGTAGAATCAACACCATTAAAAAATGTTGACTGAAACTGAATTGGAACCTGAATCTCCTTTAGGTGTTTAATGCAAACTGGAAGCATCTTCATTTGGTTGTACAACTGCCTTGAGACTAATGGTATCAAATCATCCTTTTTTTCATTGCAGCAAAATCCTCATGATAGATACCTTTTCAAGGAGAAAATGTCAAAAAAGGAACAACGAGAAAAAAAGAAACTTGTAACAACTTCAAAAAAATAAGTTAGAAAAGACTCACAAATACAAAGAAGTCACATAATGTCATGCACTGTATAAAGGGTGTCCATACCTTACACAGTGCAGACAAATTAACCTATGGGTTACTCCTTACAATACATTAAAAATTAGTCTTCTATCTTAGCCATATTTCTGGCTGTGTTTCGGGTATTCATGACAGATGGATTGGTTTTCTTCAAAGACCATTGTTGCGTGATGAACATGAATAAATCACCAAGTCCTGCTTCTGATATTGTCATAATCTCCTTACCTGTGATTTTAGAGAATAATGGCATAGCTGCTCTAATGGAAAATCAGTCAGTGTTTACATCCATGTACCAGATTTTTTTTTTTTTCTTTCTTATACCACCTATTTCTTGCTGTTAATTTTTTGGAGGACTTAGCATTCAAGTGCAGTACATACTTAATCTTTAATTAATATACTGCCCATGGGATCAAGGCTATTGTTCAGATTTTCACTGTTTTGTGTCCTTTGATTGCCAATACAAATTATCTTGTGGTTCTGAATTTGACATACAATATTTTGTTAATATTTCATGAATCATTCACACCTGTATGTATCACTCACACCCACTGAAATTTCTGAGCGCTGCAAAACTGGGTTTTGGTATACCTCTGGAATGACCTACATGGTATTCCTTTTGACTGGCTAATTGCTGGCTTAAACATGAATGTGTTCACTGAAATAGAAGTAGATTTAGAAAGCAATGGTCAGAGTATAAGTTTTATGATTTTATATTATTTAATTATTATAGATGGGATGCCTACATGTTAAAAAAGAGACTGTGTATTAGTGACATTACTTTTGTGTGATGAATACCTCAGCTTCTAACTTTTAAGCTGTTCTTTTTTTCCTTTTTCAGGCGAATTTACCCTCCTGATGATAAGACATTACTTGAAAAGTATGAGAGTTTGTTAGCCACCGCTTTCCAGACGTTTCTTGCTGGAAGAGCAGCTTCACTTCAGCGGGAAATGAATAACCCCTTAAAAAGAATGAAGGTACTGAAGTACACCGAGTTGTGGCTTTAGGAGTTACCTTGAATTCATGACCTCTTGGATTAGTTTCACTATTATCATATATGATGGCTGATAAATAGATTTGATAATGTTCCATGATCTTATTCTTTATGCAGCCTGTGGGTCAGATCCTTGAATCTGGATGAACTGCAGTGGACCCAGGGTGGAGACAGGCTAGATGGCTTTAAGCTACTTTACCATATCCCTGATCCTCAGCCTTACCCCTGGCCAAACCAGAGGTTGGCAGAAACTGCTTTTGAGCTGATAATTGCCTCCTTCTTCCTCCAGTAATGTTCCCAGCCTATTCATCCACTTGTATGTACTGGAACAAGAGGTACCCTAAAACCAGCTCCACTATTTTAAGGATTTAAGGCATCCAAAAATTTCACCTGATTTGCCTATTTATTTATTAGTCAGAGACAGTAGGAAAACAGCTATATTAATAACCAGCTAAGATGATATAATTTGAAATCTGAGAAATAGTTTTGCATCTTTGTAGCTGGCATCATCCAGCAGTTTTACAGGAATCTTTGTTCAATCCTTTCTAAAGACTTTTTAAAAAAATATATATTAAGACTTGATTTTAACCTTCAATTTCATGTTGCTTGCAAGGAGAGATGCATGCATGAGAAGAAATATTTCTATTTCCTCCTATGGAGGAATCCATAGTCCTATTGCAGGAATTAGTAATCAGAATAATTTCAAATTTCTACCACTTTCTGCTAGAATTTTAGAAGGACAGGGTATGTCCTGCTTTGAATTAATAGTAATGAAATTCCCATTTCTAGGAGGAGGACATTTTGGATCTTCTGGAGCAGTGTGAAATAGATGACGAAAAGCTAACGGGAAAATGCAGCAGGCAGCGAGGACCTAAGGTATTTGACTTCTAGATACCAGCTTTTTATTTCACTCTGTAGACAGGTTTTCTGAGAATTTTAAGTGGGGATTTAGTTACCTGATCCAGATGGAAGTTTTCTTCCTCTGACTGCCATTAACCTTTTTAAATTTTTTTTGAAGTATAAATAGAGGTATGACTACCATTTGTGTGACTAAATCCCATTAAATTTTTAAGGGGATATGCTGTCCTTCTTTCCCTCTCTAAACCATTTGGAGGAATTGCCAAGCATGGCAACAACTGTTGTATGAGAGATTGATTTCAGTGTGTGAAAGGATTTTTATATCAACAGTGGATCTCAAAAGAATGCTTTCATCTCTAATTGATTAGTGCCAAAATCAGGATTTTTGAGATCATGGGATAAAAGGCAGTATGGAAAGTCAAAGAATTAATTACAATTTTGATATATCTATAGCTTACTCCCTTGCTAAGAGGGTTGTACAGTATATCATGGAACGCATTTTGTATCCAAAATCTGCTTTTAATGTGAATGTATATTATTTTTAGCTTAATGCTTTCTGCTTGTGTGCATAGTTCATGTGAGTTTTTGCCTTAAATAAACTGCATATCTCTAAGCCAGTAAAGATAAATAGTTTGGGCTTGACTAGAATAAGTATGTTTTTTATATCCTGTAAACATTTTAGGTCAAGTCTGCTTAGAAGAGCCTGCATCTCTGTTCTGAGCTTTGATGGATTTGTTTATGGATGCATGTAAATTTTTTTACAGCGTTTTATGTTTCTGATGACATGGTGTACAAATCTGTGGATATCTGTACAAAATGAATGCTGACAATTGTTCTGAGCTTGAAGAGGTACTTTAAATATGTGCAAGAATCCAAAGAGCTACATCTTATTACAGGCGTGCATTCTGGAAAGAGGATCTACATGCCCAATCTGGTATTAAGATAGATTTGCAGGGACCTCATTAAAATATGGGGATTTTGTGAGCTCATGCTTTAACAGCAGTGGATTCATTTAAACAAGAGAAAAAACCCTCAGTCCACCCTAGCAGTACACTCAGTCCACATTTTTACAGAGATTCTTTTCCTTGAAATTTTGTTTTCAGATCTTTAACATGGGGTCAATTATTCAAGTTTAATATCTCAGTCACATTTTTTCCTTTTTCCAGAACCCTGTCTTTTCCCAGCAACCCTAGAGAGAAGCTATCTGCTTGTCTGTATGCACACTGTTCTACTCTACCTCTACACTCCTTGCTCACAAGACATTCCCAGGCTGGAGACTGTAACATTTAATTAAACATTAACAGGGTACTAAGCCCAAACTGAGAAACTTCTCTCAATTAGTTTTAAGATGAATTTTGATTAATTTATGAGTAAGACTAAATGCCATGGTCTTCTTTTATAGCAGGCAAATGGATTGTGTAGCTTATAGATGCCTTACTGGTACAATATTGTTTGCAATTAGATGAGAAAGAAAAAATTGCTTATGACCAAAATTTCTTTTTTTTCCCCTCTAAAATTGATGAAATCAAACCAGAAAACAATGAAATTAGCTTATCCAGGGAGACTGTTTCTTCTCCTTGCAGTGTTCACACTTCATGCTATGCAGGATTCTTATTCCTGCATCTTTTTTGTGGCCCTGATATATTTCTCAATCATTTAAACCTTGCCTACAGTGAAGCCATGTATCAGAGATTTCCGTGGTTGCATAATATCCTGTGTGCTCCCTTTGAAATACAGATGCCCATGCAGATGGTCCTGATATCTTTTTCCAAAAGAGCATCACCTCTTCCCTGTGAGGGTTAAGATGCATATGGACAATCATATGCATTTAATTGGCCACCTTTTTATAAAGAGGCTGCTATGAGATATGTAATGTCTAAATATATAACTATACAGAAATTTAGTGAGTGAGACAGGCAGTAGAAAGTACTATTGCCTGTCAGTCTGTCATGTAAGAGAATAATCAAGCTGTGAACCTCATCTTGTAACCATAAAATCCTACGGATAAAGAACTATTTGCATATTCAGGATCTCATAGGAAAAAAACCCAACAAAACAACCACAGGACTGGTACTTTTCATGTCATGTAACCCAACAGGAAAGGTTCTTTGAGAAGGTCGTGGAGTCTGTCCCTCCTTAAATTCAGTGGCTGCTCTGCTGACTGAAAGTACTCTTAGGTCAGATGCTCTGCCTCGGGTTGTATTCTTCCTTGAAAAAAACCCATCAGAGTCAGGACTCAGAAAACTAAAAAGACAACTGGAATAGTTAGGAGAGAGAAGTGTGTTCCTCCTCATGCTCTCCATACAGAGAAACATATAAACATCTTCATTTCCACATCCATATCTCTGCATAGGAGAGGCTGAGGGCTGTGCACGTATAAATAAATACAAGCTTTGCATCTAACAATTATTCTGTATTTGCTAGGAATTTCACACTTGTTTTTATTCAAATGTGATTAGGAACTCAGTGTAGGAAAAAAGAAATCAAGAAGTTTACAGAATGAAGGCATTTTTTCTGCACTTAAAATATCACTGAATTTTGCATAGATGGAGAAGGGCATTCTGGAAATGTCCAGTTTATTTATAGCCTCTAGAGGGCTCCTGACACCTACACACTGTCAGGGTTACCCATGTGTGCAGGACAATGGACTAAGGGACTAAAATAACAGATATTGTAGAGGAAATAAGAAATTAATTTTAATTTTAATTCTTTTGGTATAAGATCAGATGAGTTTAATCACAGAAAAATTGGGTTAGCATAAGGCTAAAATCAAGGTGATGAGCTAGGCAAGATGTGCTAGGCAATCAGATGTCTCTTTAAGAGATCAGTTTATACCCAGATTCAGCTATTATTTGTTATTTATTTTGTAATTTATTTGATCTTTCTTTTTATTCTTCTTTGCTAATTGATATTGTTTACTGTAGAATATGTGAGGAAATATATATGATAAGTGGAATAAGATCTATCTTAAAGCCCCTGGGAGCTATGACTGAAAATGTTTGTTATACCTTGTGTAACTCCTCAGGAATGTCTGATCAATATGTCTACATCATACACAGCATTTCATGATAAGAACAGCTATTTTTAATAAAGTGGTTTGTGTTGAGGCACCTTACTTTTATCCCTTTGGCAGACAGATACATATCAATCTTATATATATTCTTTGTGTAACAACAATTGTCAGGGCTCGCCTCAATGCAATGTTCTTCTCTAACTTCTCCTTATCTGGTCTAACAGCTTGGGATGGCATAAACATAATATTAGTTAGTGACAGAAATCCCTTCCCTTCCTTGTCTGGAATAGAAGTTTAGACAGCATCTATTTCGTAATAAAGTGTATCTTGCAGCAACAGGAGGTTTTGGGGCTTTTTCCTGTTATCCTCATAATAAATCTAGGTTCATTACATTATGCTAAAATGTTAGGAAAATTTAAATTCTTCCTGAGAATTCTTTTTCACTTTGACTCAAAGTATGTCCCGAAATTATGATTTAAACTTTTTTTTTAATCTGATGTTTAATTGAAATCCATTCAGTAGATGAGGCTATCAGCATAGCTTCTTATATAGCTCAGAGTTACTGGAAAGAAAGTGTGTAGGAAAAAAAGGTGACCACATAAGCCTGCTTAGGAGAACAGATGTAATGAAAGATACTGCATTTTTGTGTCTGACTAATGGTAGATGGAAGACAAAAAATTTTCAATTGTAGTTACTGTTCTTGGATCAGTTTCTCTGTCTCCACCTTTTTTGGTTTTTGTCTTGCAGTATCCTTGGTAATAGCACAGGATTAATTAGCTAATGACACTGAATCCCATGTGCATATGAGGCACCAAGAACCCCCAGCACAGCTTGCTATATATTCTTTGGTTTCTGCTCTCTGCAGCATGTAGATTAATCACTTTCTTTTTGAAAGTAAAGCAAAGTTCCCTGATGTATTTTTCTACTTACATTGATCATTGTTAAGCTGTAGTTTCAGTTATTGGAAATACCAGTGAGGAACCTGAACTGATTGTAAATGGTATTCTGAATCAATTGATTTATGATTTCAAACCATAATGCAGTATGTTTGATAGTGCAATTCATACTTCAAATAATTCCCCTTCCCCCCCACTCATATTATGCTGCTCTTCATGTGACAAAGATTAGAATTTAATGAAATATTTAAGCAATTATTCTAAAATCTAGGACAAACTGCCAACTAATTTGGGAAGGTTTATAGCTGTGCAAATATTGCCTGAACCTGCCTTAATCAGGGATCTAGTGTGATAGCTGGCTGTTTCTTTGGGATTCAATTAAATTTCTTAGTTTTTTTTCCTTTTTTTTTTTTTTTTTAGCCCTTGTGTTCAATGCCAGAAAGTGCACATTCCTTAAGGAAACCTAAGAACTACAGCAGTGACAGTAGCTGTGATAGTGGCAGCAGTGTGTCAGAATCAGGAGAAGAAACTGAAAAGGAAGATCACAATGAAAAAAAAGAGAAAAAAGTTTCATATGATGTTGAAGAAAATAAGTACAAATCTTTGGAACGATCAGGTAAGTTTAATGATCACTTTTCCAAGGAAGTCATTGACAATGAATTATATAAAATTCCTCAGTATTTTAGAATGTGTCAACTTTGTATCACAGGGTTAAACACTGGTTTGCTTGTTTCAGTTTCTTTAAAATGTTTTCTAAATTGATAAGTATATACCATGTTATTTTTTGTTTTAGTGATGTATTGTCTGAAAGAATTTTATAATGTAGTTGCATATGTATAATGTTGCTTCGAAAATTTTATTTTTCATAGCAGCATTTATTTAGCTGAAAACTGAATTTAAAAATGCTGTAACTATGCCTTAACAAATGAGAGATCCTGAATCTGCAAATATGGGATCCACTGAGCAAATTTTCTCTCCTGTTTCCATATCTTTATAGTCAGGAAACCACACACAGAAGTCACATACATTTTGACCTAAAGAGGATGTGCCCTCTCTCTTAAATCTCATGTGTGTTATAGTGGATTAGAGTCTGGTTAAACCTGAATATGAGGAAGAAATAAATGTTCCTATAAGTATGTAAATTCTGTATTATTAGGGGATCTGACATGACTGACTTCTACATAGATAGTTGTTAGTCAACACATATTGTAGTACAACATCTGTGCACACATCGATCATATCCGTTGTTAGTTACAAAGACTGAAAAATGGGTATTAAGAAAACAATAAGTAATAACATCATTAATTTTCTATCTCTCCGCAGGTAGAATGAACTGCAAACCTTCAAATAAAAATATAAAGTCTCCATCATCTTCGTCCCCCACACCATCCACAGGTCCAATAAGGCGTTCTGTGAGCTGCCCTCGTTCCATATCAATCCTCACTATGCAGTCCCAGGGAGCTGAGCAGCGCCCCTTTTCAGCCAAAGCATCTCTCCAAATGCAGAGAACAGCCTCAGTGAACAGGTCTCACTCTTTAAGTCGTAGCCCATCTTCAGCCAGATTCTCTCAGACAGCCACCTTGGGAACTATGAACTCTTCAGGGGTGAGTTAACGCAGCAGTTGCATTCAAAATGGGTTCCATTCTTCTCTTAAACTCAATAAATACACCAGTAATTTTTGCAACATCAGAAAACTTGTGGTCCTGTAGTCAAGATTGTTTTGACAGACACAAGAGCATATAAGATCTCTAGACCTGTGTGTGCTATGGAGTGAGTGCCAGCTGTGATGTCTCAGTGTTCGTGGTGCAGCAATACAGATGTTACATTTTGTAGAAATGGGTGTCTAAGAGAATGGGAAACCTTCACTTTGTGAATGGGAATCTTTCACTTCTAAACAGCCTTTTGAAGATAGAAAGCATTGTGACTGAAACTCTCTTAAAAGTTTTCTGTGATTTGTTTGGGGGCTCCTGGTTCTGAAGTAAGGCTGTACCTACCTTCAAAATCTTTACAGTAACAAAAATACATTCAGATTTCAAACCCAGTGTATAGTCCAAGGGTAAATACATTGTGCCAGAATAAAACATTAGGAAGGTTTTGTATGGCTGTCCATTGTAGAAGATGGTGAGATTAATTTTCAGCCTACTGGACCTCTTTTGCATATGCTATACCACTGCAAAAAGCTCTACTTCCAAAGTGAGTAGCTGAAAATTTATACAGTGCTCATGGTCTTTGTGATTTGCCACTGCAGTGACTGACTCAGAAGCCATTCTTTTTTTTTAAAAAAAATCTTTCATTTGCACCCGCTCCTTCAGACAGACAAGCAACTGGCCCAAATAATTAATAAATCAGATTAAACACTTTTAATTGTTTAGAATTTGTGTGATTAGTTGTACTTTTCACAATTTACTTCTAGACCATGTATATTTTTTCATTTTGTTAGCACATTGTCTTCCTCTTTGGTATCTCCTTCACAGCCCAGGCATTTCTTCTTTAGTCTTGGGGTGATGGAGCCCATATTCACTTATCCCTAGGCAGTGTTTTCAGGGATCAATCCCCAGCCTTACTCAGGGGTGCATTGCCTGCTGGTGCCAGAGCGTTTCCATTCGTGCTTTGATGCCTGACCTATATATTTCATCATCCAAATAATTTTGTGCAGAGATGGGGCAAAACAAATTGGCACTTTTAACCCATATTTGCTGCCTCTCTGTATTGTGGTGAGCTTTGATTGTGAGCAATCCTTTTGTAATGCTAATTAACTTGCTTCATAGTATTTACTATCTCTAATCATCATTTTTATCTGGTAGAATGCTCATTGTCTGTTTTGTCTTGAGGCTTTGTCTAAATGATGAAAAAGGCTCCTTTTAAAATTGCGTGCTGACATCTTGTGAAATACTCCTTAACATGGTTTTCCATCTTTAAAGTCAGCTAATAGAATTGGAAAGACATTAAGATTGTGTCTTCACAACAACGTGTTAAAGGTATTTTTTTATTGCATTAGCTATCTCAAATTTAAAAAGTACCCTTTTATCATCACAATGTACCCTGAGAGTTTAATGAGACAGTGCTAATATGGATTTTTCTATTCACATTAACTTTATATCAAATACAAATTACTGAAAGATTAAAAGCCGTCTTTTACCATCTGATGTTAAAAATGGGCTACTCGCTTAAATTAACATTAGTAAGAAAGCATACTCTCTTTTTCATTGAGAAAGCTCCACCACAGAAATGATCTTGATCTTGATGTGCAGAACAATTACTTTGGGTGATAGAGCTTAGGTCATGCTTCCTAAAAATTATGTGAATAAAATTACTTACAGAATGGATAAGAATTACTTATAATTTAGCACTGTATTCTGAATGGAACTCTGTTCATAATTATTTTTGCAACTAAGAATAATATATTATATATTACTGCTAGAATAACATTAAAATTGATAAACTGTGACTTACTGAGAAGAAATCATTCGTGCATGATAAAGTGTTAGTTTATCTATCCTTTGGGCAAGAAAAGAGCAGTACGCTGCCATTTTTGGAGTCTGCTGAGATCCAAATGTTCTAAACCTAGGGAAACAAAATTTAAAATAAATCATTTAGAGCTGGGAATTACAGACACATTCTTATAGGAGTTATAAGCAAAAGTGGATTTCAAAATATTTGGTATATTATTATTTCAGCCATATTAACATGTTATCAAATACCAGAGTATTTTTTTGTACTTGAAAATATTTATCACTCAAATAAAAATATCCTTAAGTATTGCAGTTGTTACAGAATACAAAGATTAGAAGTGCCTAAAAGTTTTGAATTTCACTCTGGAAAAATGTTAAAATTAGACTGACTTGGTCTTGCAAATGTGAAAATGTAAAAGTATGTGGAAGTAAAGAAAGAGGATCAGAAACACTTCTAACTAGCATGTCATGTTTTAAAGAAGAACCCCCAATCCCCCAGAGATGGTCTTCTGCAGACCCTGCAGGGGTCCAGATCAGTGTTGGTGTAAAAAGCATTGATACTTTCAGCAAAACTCTGGACAACTGGAGGCCCTGTCAGACCCCTTACTGACTAAAGCAGGAGACAAGTGGCCTTTTTAATGCTTCCTGAAATGTTGGCCCTGTGATTTATTGCCTGTTTATGTTAAATTGTTGAAGTGATGAACTGAAAGGATGCTTTTTATGACTAATAATATTTTTTATTATGTTGAATTTAAATTCAAAGTCTGTTATCTCAGTTTCAAATTTATACTTAAAATTGTGGGCACCATAAATATGTGATATATGTTTGTTTATTTTATTTCAAACAAATGTACATTTTAACTGTTTTTCTTGGATTTCTTGACAACTCTCAGTAATGGTGATGCATTAATGTATGTGATATATATTAGTTCTGTATTAGATAATATGTCTATGCACTTTAATAATATATTTTATGTCACTCTAGATTTTTTTTTGGTCAAACAAACATCTTTGTAATGTGATTTAATGGCACATTTAAAATGTTTTCCTCTGCTTTGTGTTGGCTTTTAGAGTGAGTCTTTGCTGCAACAGAAAACAAAAGAGCAAGAAGTTGCTTTGACAAAAGAGACTCTTCTCCGTATCAATGACTTGAGAGTAAGGTTCCCAGGAAAAACAAATGAAGAATCTGAATTAATTATAGAAGATGTAAGTATTTTTAAATAAGAAAGAAGAACAGGCTAGACACTGTTTAGGCTACTGAAATGAAGGAAAGTAAAAAGCTCAATCTATGATTCATTAGCTCCTGTGGCCTTAAAACTTCCAGAACTCAGGATAACTCAAAAGAATTTGAAAGCTTGGAGCTTTGTATCCTTTCTGACCTTAAAAGAGCAGCACTGAAAACATTCCTATGTCCTTACAAAATATGTGAGAAATAATCAGGAGGGTTAGGAAAATTCAGTTTTTCATGGTAGAGAGAGTTCAAACTTTTAAGTAAGCCAGGAAGAATGTTACAATTCATATTTCATCTGATATTATTAAAACAGACCCTGACCTGTTTAACTTGCTCTCAAGCAGGCATACTAGAGAACTCAGAACGGTATGCTGCAGGCAGAATGGAGGTTTGAGGGTCATAAAGAACACCAGTCATGTGCTTTTTGGCTCTTGTAGTCTACCAAATTTGCCTTTCTCACATCTGATGTTGTCCTGAGCCTTGTAGTTTGGTGTCAAAGACATGTGAAACAATGCTGAAATAAAGGTCAATTAAATCCCAATACTTGATATATAAGCAGAAATTGCATGGTGTCAGCTAACAGGATGGAAAAAAAAAAAAGTATGTTCTCTTCTCATTTTAGAAGGAAAATTAAAGGATTCAAACTAACACCTGTGCTTTGATGTAGTGAGCACAGTCCTTGATCTGTTAAAATTCATCTGATCTATTATCTGGTCAGAAATGTCCTGAGCTCTGTGAGCTTCCAGAATGTTGATTATGTTTCTAGTAATCTCTGCAGCTACATTGGAGTGGAAAGGATTTCTCCTGTAGTGATGGTTGATTTGGTGCTGGTGGAAGATAGCACTCACAGCCAGCAGGCTGGGCTTCTCAGAAGCAGAGCTAGAACGCTCCATGAGACGCTGTCCCTGGTGCCCCAAGCGCGCGGTTCTGTGCGAGCCGCTGCCAGCGCTCCATCTGGCACTGCTTCCTCGCACAGCGCCAGCCTGGGGAGCCCCACGCCTTCCTGGGGCAGAGCTCTTGTAAAATTCATCGGGCCATAGCCAATTCCTGGTGGGAAAGAGTTCATCACAGAGGAAAGTGAGTGCTGGTGAGGGAGAACTTGTTAAAGGTCTGGAGTAGAGTAGAAAGATAAAATAACAAAATGAGAATAGAAATGTATGTTCACAGCTTGAGCTATTTTGGTAGCACTTAGGTTTTGTGAGAGTGTTGCAGTACATATATTATGATTTCCAGGTATATCTAATGTCCCATATGCAGCAAAACCCATCACTATTTAAATAGATCAGCAGTTATGCATTCTTGAACTTACTACTCTCAAAAAATCTGAGCTGAGTCAGTCAAGACAACTTTCTAACTGCTTTGTAGTGTATGATTGTCAGAATCAGGTAGAAAGAGGGTGGTATTAAACTGAAGCATCACACAGATCTTTGCAAATGTTGCCCCACATAAATTTGCAAATATTTTGCTATTTCTTTTGGAGAAAACTTCTCACAGCAGTCTTTAAGATGCTCACATTTTTAAGGGTTAGGAGCACTCGTGAATGAAAGACCAGCTTTCAGTTGTTTTCATGTGTATTTTTTATCTTGTGTTTTACAATAACCACAGATTATGGATAATTGGAAGTATCATAAAACAAAAGTGTCATCCTATTGGTTGGTAAAACTGGATTCAGCAAAGCAACGAAAAGTAAGTGACATATTTCATTTTCAGAAGGTCATAGCAGTAGCTGGGATTGACTTGAGATGCCAAAATATAGGCTATTGTTACTAACATAGGTATGCATTAATTCAATTAAAGGACATTATGTTGCTCCATATTTGGAGAAGTATGATTGTTCTGGATTATAATTTAAAAATCAATTTCTCAAAAAATTAGTCTTCTAAAAAAAAGCAAACAAATAAGTGGTTAATGCTTACATACCTAAGGTCTAGCTAATGTTCTTAGAAGGGTATTCAGCAGATTTGATTGATAAGGGCTACAGCAGTCAGCAGTTTCAGACCAGGCATATTAAAACTCCATTAGAGGTAGTGATACTGCACTTGGCTGTTGGAGTATTTGACCCACAGTATTAGAATAGATCATGCTGAATAAAAAATGGACCTACCAAGCAAAGAATTTTGTCCTTTAAGCGTTATTTCAGAAAGCCTCCAATAGAAGGTGGTTCTGTCCCTTATTTGACTGGCAGTCATGTTAAACCAAGGGCACATGTACAAAGTCAGGATGACAGAGATTGATGTGCCAGGTTGTTACTTGCAAAAACTGCACAATCAGAAATGTGGACTTTTTGCTCTTCTTGTGAGGACATCTTTTACAACTTTAAGAGACTTATAACTCCTAAAGCAGTAGTGAGCCGTTCATCTTTGCTTGCACTGGAAATGATTTGCCTGTTTTTTAAACTGCTTTTAACCTCAATCCCTTCAAGCAATCAGATAGTTATTCTTAGAAGGGTAGTTTATAAAAACGGATTAACTTTGACAATGACATTGCAGCTGAGGACTGCCAAATGTCTTTTGTTGATTTGAAAGAAGTATGTTTTATATTCCAATGAGGTGGGTGAAGGAGAAATGAGCAAGGTGGAGAATATTTATGCAAGTAAGGAATCTGTCTCAAAGGTACCTTTCACAACTTTGTGAAATACAAAACAGAATCTCAGTCCCCTTCACTCTTACTTACTGGGAAATTCTAACACACAAGAAGAAAATACCTGGGCAATGTACTAGATTGCACAGTGTTCATACCTGACAGCTGTATTTGCTTAACAATTATTCAACATGATACAGAAATTTAAACTTACACTTATATTCTTAGTGTGTAATGTTCTGGCATTACAGCATGGGTACAGGAGGCATTCAGAAGTAAGTTGAGAGTAAACCAATTAAATCAATTCATGTTAAAAAAAAATTGAACCTCTAAGACTTTCAATAAAAAGAGATTTTTGTATGGGAGGAGTTATGACTGCTTTATGTTGCATCACTTTACATAATTTCTTTAAAAGTGTTTTGATGGTTACCAGAGGGTTTTGAATATGCCCTTTCATAACATCTTGTTCTGCTATACCTAGATAATTTGTTTTGTTAAAGTAAATGATGTAAATTAAAGAGAAAAATGAAGGCAAGCTAGGGAAATTAACTTGGAAAAATGAAGATGTAGATTTCATGAAGTTCCAGCCCTTGTGCAATGCCTTGTCTCTTTTCTTAAATGGATGATTCTTTTTGCCATGTTTGCAAACTAAGGACAATTAACCAGCACGTTTCCTGCTCTGGCATATTGGCAATATCAGCACAGTAAAAACAGCAAGAAAGATTTTTTTTTCCCAGAGTACTTGGCAGTCTGTGGCTTGCTCTAAGATGTTTAGTTCTTAGTTTTCTTCAACTCCAGGTACTACAGTAAAAGAAAAAGCTCTACACTGGCATCGTTGTTCTTAGCTTATGTCTTTTGGACTAGTGAGAGAGTCTATACAGGGTGATATTGTTCTTTTTCACACAGGGAGATACTATTAGTTAGTGTAACATTGCAAAGAAATGTAGGGCTGATTCTTACGTGCTTTAGGGACTGAGTTGTTTCGTGTGTTTGACCACAGATACTGGTCATGTGTGTGGGAATGGCTTGGACAGGTGAAACACAAGGAAAAGGGCTTGAGAAGCATGAAGAAGCATGAGAAGCATGTCCTACAGCCATGGGACAGTCCAAAACCTGGGCTTAGCTCCTGCTGTCACTAAAAAAGATCAGCACCCTTAACACATTTTAATATATTACTCCTTCTATTTCACTCTTTGGGAGGAGTAGGCCATGGATGTGGGTTTTAGTGCATTAGATACCTGCATTCATAAAGATTCCCAACAGAAAGGACAGTATTGTATTTACTTTGGGCTATTATGTACATGGAATTACTGCAAGTCCTGTGCATGCAGACTAATCTCAGGTCTTCAAAAAGAGTTTAAATAACATGGGAAAAACCATATTTCATCAAGGCTGTCATTATTAGGTATCTATAGATTTTCTGCCCATTAAGCGTACTAAACAGCTTCCTTGTGCTGTTGCAAGCATTTTGTATATTTAAGCTTTGTTTCCTTCATGGTCAGACAATTTATAAACAACAGTTTATTGTGTAGGATCTAAAAATTGCAATTCCACACTATTCTTCCATAATTTACTGTTCTACTAAATCTCTTTCACCTTTTCAGAACCATGATTCACCATGTGAATCAGTTTGTCTCACATATCTGAAAGTTTCCAGGGAAAGCATTGTACCTTCTAATTTATAAAATCTTATACCAAATTAGCAAATACCTCCATCTGTTTACCACCCACTTGTATTGTTGTTTTTTTGGAAGATGCTGTTATGCAAAAGAGGCAGAGAGAGTGTTTCCTTTAAAGGAAATTTCATGGATTTAACTGGCTTTTTTTGTTGATAGTTTACATGCACTGTAGGCTTTTTATAGGACAGATTTTACACTGTTCAGAGTGTCAATATTTGGTCTAAATACTACTTTGGTCCGAAGATATTCCCAGACTTATTGACAGTATCTAAATAGACAGAATCCAAGACACTCTGGAGTCTGATTCTCTCCAGGGATTATGAAGGGAACATAGAGGAGTGAGTTAAGAACTTCCAGATATTTAACAGCGCATGATGAATCCCACCTTCCTTCCATGCCCCAGTTCAGTGGGATGTGCAAAGGTGTATGCAGGACTCTGGTAAGTTGGATGTGCAGCTGTCTAGCACTATACTGAGTGCAGCTCAGTCTTTATCCTCTTGCATTTAAATGTAGCCCGTACGTAATAAATCCATGGTGTGCCTATAAATGTTTCTATTTTAAATATCTTGCTGATTGTTTTCTTACTTACTGATTTCACTACTGTCTCTTGCCAGGTACACTAACATGGTTTGATCCAGGATAACACTGAGCTCAAACAGACATTAAACCAAAGGCAGTTTGTAGTTTATCAGGACATTTTAGTTCTTTATAAAATAGATGTTATTTTACAAGGGAGTGGGAAAAGAAGATATACAATGCTTGGGTTAATTAAGTTGCTTCTAGTCTTTAATTGTGTCCATTTTGTTTCTTTTTACCCTTTCTGTCATTTAAATGAGCTAGTATTGAACAGACTGAAAAAACAGAAATGAACTTTTCAGTAATAAAAATAAAATACTTTGATTTGGCTTTGCAAAATGTTACTAACAGAAAGAACATGTAATAAAAGTTAGCTGATGACTGCATAGAAATGAACCCCCGACCTCTGTAGGAATGTACAGGTATGCAGTCATATGTACAGGGATACCTGTCTGTATGCATGCAGGGCATCAGCCATCAGTTGCGTTTTGGTTTTGAAAAATGTCTTTGATTTACTTGGAATGCTCTTTCCTAGGTTTTGGATATAGTCAGGACAAGTGTCCGTGCAGTTCTACAGCATGTCTGGAAAGCTCCAGACATTGAAAATTTACATCTCTACCGTCTTTTTAACCGTGTATTTAATCGCTTACTTTGGAGCCATGGTCAAGGCCTATGGAACTGTTTCTGTAATTCAGGGTAAGCTGATGTTTCTTTTCTTTTTCTTCTTCTTCCTAATTTCACAATTACAATCAGTGCTGGCATACTTTTTTGCTCATTTTCATTCCCAAGAACGATGCAATACATTGAACTTGTTTTAAAAGCACCTTAAGATACATAGTTGAACTAAATCTAGCAATCAAGGCCAACCTTTTTCAGAAATGGAATCAAACATTAAGTAATATATTTACAAATTTAATAATCTAAGGAAAAAATCTGATATTCAAAATATTTCAGCCTTAAGTCAACTCTTTTGCTGGATGGTGCATGATTTTTAGGCCACACCACTGTGTCTAACATGGACTTGCCATCAAAAGAAATCTTAATATTTATTTATGCTCCAGACTCATAAGGAGAGTTCAGTCACAAGTGCAGCAGACATCTCACACCAGATGCAATGTCACTTCTGTGATTTACTAATAAACAGTTCAAATTTCTGTGCTTGACTACATTCACTGTTTCCCATACTGGTAGAAAGTTAAGTATATGCAGAATATGAAATGTCCATGTAAGCAGATGTTTTTGGTTTGGGTAGTAAATACAAGTTTTTTACAGGGAAGAAAAGATCTGGACATGTAAGTTCAATAACCTATACTTCAGAGTCTACATTCCTGAGATCAAAGGCATTGGTAGAAATACAGTCATTTATCATATGTGGAGAACTCACACATTACCCTTGTTAATTGTTTCCCAAGAAAATGGATAACAAGAAGAAGAGGGATATGAGGCGTCCAAAAGATAAACAGGTCTTTTATCATCATCTCATTGCTGAAGGCTTGTTGGTGTGCAAGCTGTTAGGATTCTTTACAATTTTTTCTTTTCTTCATGCTAGCAGAGGTGTGTGAAGTCTTGAGTACAAGATCAATTCTTTTGTTGTCATAAAATATTATAAGTGGAGCTATTCTTTGACAAAGATCCAGTTCCTTGTAAGAGTTGTTACATAAAAGATTCTAAAAATACTGTAGAATATATAAATATCCAGTAGGTATAATGATCACTCTGCATGTAAAGCGCTTCTTACAGATAATACAGAATTCATGGAAGAAAACAAAAAGGCTGTTTGCACATTGCCAGTATGTTGTTTATTCAGTTACAAGCATCCTTCTTGCCCCATAACACACAACCGAGAACTCATGGCAGTACCTCTGTAGCAGAGAGGAAAACTTCTCATCACTCTTCCCCAAGAGTTCATTGTGCCATTTTAAAGAACAGATTGGAATAAACATTGGGTGTGTGTAGAATTTGGAGAAATATGTTGGGAAAGAGATATTAATGTGCTGATTCAGAAACAACATTACTATATGAAAATACATTAAGGAGTGTAGTGTGTTCACTATTCATAAGATACATGTCTTGGGAGAAGAGTGAAGCTAACGGCCTTAAGGTTTCCTCTTGCTGGTTAGATCTCTGCTAGGTATGTGCTATTTTAATGAAAAGAAAGAACAAAGAAAATATCTGTGAAAAAAGGTGATGTAAAGGGTTTCATAAAGGTTTGTTTTACTGTATAACAAACAATTAAAACTAATAGAAGAAAACTAGATGAACCAGTTAACTTCAGATGATTATAAAAAGTATAACACATGATTGACCACATTGCACAATCCAGTATAATGCTCTTTTTTGTATCTGGTGAGGAGTCTGTGATTTCTTACTAATGTATGGAAGCTAAAGTTACAGCATAACCAATTAAATTTAGGAAACAGAATTCTGATCCCTTTTGATTGCAGTACAGTGGAGAATAAACTGAATCTGTCTAACACATGGAGGAAGTTGCACAGGCACATTTATATGAAAGCTCATTAAAATTCATGTGTATGTTTCCAAATCTCAGCTTTTGTGAGATTTGAAACTCATGACTATGTTCATAGTCAGCCACAGTTGCAGCAGGCCATATATTATTTGTCACTGAAAAAATGTCACTTAACTGTAGAAAAGTTATCACAAAGTTCAGAACCTAAGGAATTAAGGAATTTATCAGGAAAGTTTTTTCTACAGGATTTCTGAGTGAATTGAGTGAATTATAATAGAATTATGTGTAGCAATGTGAATCTGTTGAAGGAATGTAATACTTGGACCGTCATTTTGCTACTTTCTACCAACATGACTTCATGAGGAAAGACTGAAGACAATAGATTAATTTCTATTAAAATTTTTATAAAAATACATGTGGACTGTTCCCAGTCAGAAAACAATTGGGAAAAAAATATATGAAAGAAAAGTAGTAGTATGACTCAATGATCTTAAGAGGTCATTTCCAACCTAAATGATTATATGATTATTCAGTTTGTGAAATAAAAGTTTTGACGTATACAAACAATACTTAAACAATTGTGTGAATAATAATTAAAGACAAAAGCTTGCATCATTGAAATTTATGTTTGCAATGGAAATTCTGTAGGACTGAATGTTTTCATGGAACACACCATCCGGACAGAGGAGTCAGGCTGACAAATCAGTTAGCTACACATACAGGTCATCTTTTAGTCATTAATGGTCTTAATTCCATCCTAATCATAGAATCATTGACTCATACAATGTTAAGGGGTTGGAATAGACCTTAAAGGTTATCTAGTCCCAGCCCCCCAGCCATGGACAGGAACACCTCCCACTAGACCAGCTTGCTCAAGGCCTGATCCAGCCTGGCTTTGAACACTGTCAGGGTTGGGACATCCACAGCCTCCCTGGGAAACCTTTGCCAGTGTCTCACCACCCTCACAGTGAAATGCATCTCAGTTTAAAAAATGTTACTAGGCAGGAGTGAGCTTGCTGGTTCTGTGATGTTGTTTGAAGGATGAACTTTCTACATGGGCATTGTGTAATCTACTGCTGATCTCTGTGGGCAAGGCTGAATCAGCCTGGATGCTACGTTGAAGCCAGATGCAGCAAATTTTCCTCACGCTGTGAAGTGCTTCTTTCGTACACAAAGAAAAAAGCTCAAGCTTACAAACCATCTGTGCTACTGGATAATAATTTTGTCCAAAAAAAGTCTTCACAAGCACCATATTGCCTTTTAAAACTGATTGAATGATCTATAATTTGGTCAGAATTTTGCACGAACAAGAACGCTGAGATGTATGCAAAGAACTATTTATTGTAGTCTTCTGCGCTGAAACACACCTGGTTTATATTGATGTGGTAGGCCTTGGTGGCTTTTTTCTTCTCAAAGAAAAATGGCTTCTTAAGTAAACAAAAGGAAATTTTATAGATGTACTCTGCAAGTTGCACTTAATTGTAGATAACCAACCCATGTGACCAGAGGAAATAATAAGCAGTATTAGAATGACTAAAGTGAGAGACTCTCTTCATATGATTTTTTGGATAAGGAAGCAGAACACATACTAATCTCCTGTAAATTAATTTCATATTTGTTTATTTTTATAATGTACTAAAAATAAAAGTATTATTATGCTGTGTGGACATTTAGAAATAATTTAGTACTTTTATTAATTCCTTTAATATCATAATTCATTCAGATGGTAGCCTGTTAAAAAGAATAAATGTTTTGTGTTATTCCTTTTGTAAGACAAATATACAATTTTGTGACCATAACTCTTTACGTGCTAAATCTAAGTAATGGCTCTGTAAACACTTCAGGGAACAAACCAAATGAAAAATGGCAGTGGACATTTCCCATATAAAGATTAACTTCTTACTTTGTGTTTTGGACTCAGCATCTACCAGTATTTGTGTTAAATAGTATAAACCTTTCCTGTACCTTTTCTGCAAGGTTGTGCTTTTTCTCTTGTTCCCGTGTTGTTAAATCTGATATAAAAGCAATAAAGCTCTTAGATTGCAATTTGTGACAGAGACCATGAATTTGTTTCTTTTTCCATAATAGGAGCTCTTGGGAAACCATATTCAGTAAAGGCTCAGAGGCGCTGACTCCGGAGCAGCTCCAGTGTTGCCAGCGAATAGTACAGCTTTGTAAACACTGCCTGCTGGTAGTTTACAAACATTCATCAGACTCAAGAGGATCCCCAACTGGGATGAGTCACCACTGGGATGATACAAGGTATAAATTTGAATATTTTCCTTCTAAATTATATGTATAAAGGATAGTACTGGAACAGGTTTTATTCCATGTTGCTACCACTAAACTTTTCTCTAAGTCTGGTTCCCTCTGTATTTAAGAAAAAATCCCACCAAACTCCCCAGCATTTCCCTTTATCCTGACTTTCAGTCATTCTAATCTCACTATTCCAGTCATGAAGTGGTACCAAAAGAAAATTTGACATACACATCTTGTATGTTTTATTAAACTTCTGTAAACTTATGCACATCTTGTACACTTATTAAACTCTTGATTGCCTACTGCCTAATTAGCTGCAGCAAAGGCTTTCCATAAAGTGAACTGAAAATCTCCTTTCCTTCCCCTTCTCAGATCCCTCAAAGTCAGTGTTTCCAGATTTGCATTCCTAGAGGTATCCTAACATGTCAGATACTTCTGGCTTCACATTCGCAGTGGGCTGCTATAGGGGCACAGCTCCAGCCAAGGGTCAGGTAAGTGCCATCTGATTTACTGTATTGCACAGTTTTGCAAAGTTGATTTCCAAAACCTATAAATGGAAAGTTTTATTATTCCATCTTATGGAGCATAAATATATTTTCAAACCTTGCAAAACAGCATCATATAGTAAAAGAATTATTTGGCACTTACCTGATTCTCCATTGGCTGGTTTAGTTCCCCAACTGGATACAACAGGGGTTATAATATTATCAGTGTAGGGACTACTGAGAATGCTCCAACTGTGGCAGTCAATAATTTGCAATTAAACAGTCATAGAGAATTAAATGTCAGTTTTAAATTACTTAGGATCCAGATTCTATCTCATTTTAATTATTGTGTATATAAAAATTACAAATGCTTTGTTTATATAAAATATCTTACATATATTGTTTCATAGAAGGGCTTTGTGATTTGAGCATTATGTGAAAATAAAATTTTTCATATATTATCTATTAAACTTATTACTTAATTGCTTACATGATATATCTCAGATTAATTATTTGATACACTGGACCCATGCATTACTGACATGTGGATCTTAAGACTCTCTAACATAATTTAAAGCCAACCAGAAATTAAATTTGTTTGATCACAGCAAAAGCAGAAGTATGTTAGCCACAAACCAATCATACTCAATATTAACAGCTACTGAGTTATAGCAGGAGAATGGTAAAGTCATTTGGATTAGCTAAGACTAGAAAATCTCAAAGTTTTTATTGCCTTTACAGTGAAGACTGCAGAAATTTTACATCATGACCAACCACAAGCTATTCAAACAGATCAGATTACTCTAATGTACTCAACTAACAGGCTTGCTTTTGGAATGCAATGTAATTCTCATCTCCAGTTTCTGTATTTCTTTGGATGCTGAATGGAAGTTATTCATAAACTTCATAGGCTGGAGGAATCTAAGCCCTCTATATCCTAAATATCAGTAATGGAGTATCAAGACAACTCTGATTAAAGTTACACTTAAATGTTTCATCTAGACATGAATACAGCAGTATGCCAGTTATCCATGATATTCTGAATCTGTGAAGTGAAAGACACATATGGAAATAAATTCTCTTGTCCGTTACAGCCCGCAATTGTAAGGGTAATTAAGTACTTTTCTGGAAGTGGGAGAACCACAATACCAATTCACTTTTCACCAGGTTTCTGTTTTTAATGAATCTCTACTAATAATAATAGTTTTCCTGACTCTCCATAAAATTGTGTGGTGCAAGAAAATATTAGAGTATAATGTAATAAATGTATGAGAAGTCAATTTTTTCAAGACTTTATAAAATCGAATTTGAAGAACTTTGTTTTTTCTGAGCACAAACAAATTTTTTATTTTATTTGTGTTATGGAAACAAAAGTTTGTGAAACTAAAGCTTTCACAGTTTACAGATCGATAGCTCTTTAGCTGGGAAAATTATTTTTACAGGGAGAGATAAAAAGATAATAAACTGCCACACAATTCTTTAATAACTTGTCAAATTTCTTTTCAATTCTATCTCTTAACTGTAAATCTGCTAAGTAAATGAAACAATAGGATTGCTCAAAAACTATACCAAAGTCTCTTAAAAAAATTAACTAAAATCAAACTGTGTAAAAAGTCATAAATTAACCTATGTTACAAAAAAAAAAAAAAAAATCTACCACTAGGTCCTTACAGCTTGCTAAATGACTTTATCTATTACATGGCATATTCTCTGGGAAGTACTGGAGTTTTTTACTGTATCATGAAGCAAAGGTAGGTCTGGTGACACAGTGAACTGTCAAGCTCACTACCAACCCATTCCAAATCAGACTATTTTTTTCACGAATTCTTTAAAAATATGTTAATGATAAAGTTTTTCTCAAGCTTAAACAAAGCACATGTGTACACTTTCTTATACAGACTGTTCCTCTTGACACAGTGCTGCTGTTTCTATCCATGAGATCAGTCTGACCAGTCTTTTAAATTATTTGTCATTAATCAATATGATTCACTAGAATTGCACAACCATTTTTAAGCAATAATTTATACAATGTGTAATGTTAATCCATCCTAACACTGACATAATTCATTGTGAAATTCGGATTTAGTACGGATGTTATTTTTGCACACTTTATTTACTTCTACAATTAACTTTTAGTTAATTACAGGATGAAAATATATAAGAATTAGTATTAGGTATATGATAAACTGCTGTTTGTATTTTTAGATGAAATACAAGCTATACAGTTGCCTGAATTTAAAAGGTAAATAGTCACTGATGTGAATTGAATTACTACATTGTAGGATCATTTCTTCCTTTACTACAGTAGTGATAACATGTCTATTCTTAGAACATTAGAGATGGAAATATTTTTTTGTGTCTAATCAGTTTTTTTTTTATGATCCAACTTTTTATAAGATGGTTTTTTTTGCCCAGCTTAAGTTAAACAGGATTCTGTTGTTTACACAGGATTCCACTGTTTATTTATTTAATGGCTTGAAACATAAAAGACTGGAAAGATGTTTGATCCTCATACAACAGAGTTTAGATTCCTTTTCTGAGTTAGTTTGTGCCTATTACCCTCTGTGTTTCAAAAATAGCATTTACGGTACTGAGTTTCCTGCACACACCAATTATAAAGTCTGGCACATTAACAACTAGTTCTTTTGCACTTGAATGTTGCTTTGTCTGTAAACTTTGCTGTATTTTTCATATCCTTTCTAGGTGTTTATTGCCAAGACCTTCACTGTTCATCCTGAAATCATCCTCATCCAAACTTAGCTGCAGTCCATCTGGAACGCCTCGCCCTAACATTTTGTTCACACACAGATACAGTCACTTGTGAAGTAAAAGGAAATTGCTGTTTGTAAATAATAGCATTCAACTTCTTTTTTTTTAACTTGTGATGGAGCTAAACATAAGCGCTGTTATATATTTCCTACCATCATATTATAATAAAATTTAGCTGAAAACCTACTGTAAAAGCATAGCTTTTCTGGGAACATAATAAACCTTGTTAAGTTGTTTACATACACATGTGAATGTGTAGATCTTGCTAGGTTTATAAGTAACTCCTTCCTACTAGAAATGTTATTTTTGCTGCAGAATATATAAAATGGAATTGTTCTTGAAGATTCTATTACAGTATTATATTATTTTGTAAGTACAATACTTTGACTTGAAAATTATTTATTGTAAACTATATTATTTATTGTCTCAAATGTCCTTTAACAAAGCAGTTAATTAGAAAACTCTTGCAGAACAGTAAAACTGTAACAGTTATCAAAAATAATCTGATCAGTTCTTGGATATGTTTAAAATAAACCCCAAAAGTCTGTAAGCCAAACCTAAAGCAGACATATTTTTATCTCTCCTCTGAAATGACAAGTTCTATTTAATACTGCTGTTTTTCTTAAAGGACATGATATAGCATCTTTTAGCCAAAGCAAAGGCATCTAGTACACAAACAGTAAAATATCAGTTTAGGCATTCACTTCCTAATTGGATTCTCGTAATAAAATGGAAGCCAATGTTTGTTTCCAGGTTTTCATTCACATTACCTGTATCCTGTGCCTTTAGGTTTCCTTTGGGAGCAAGCAGTCATCCTCAGCTCCACACGCATGCATAGTGCATAGTTTTTCTGTTACACTGCCTAAGTGGTAAAGCAGACATTTTTAGGAAATACTGCAGCTGTAATGTATTATTTAAAACTTAAACTAATTGGTTTGTTGTAGTTTTTAGCATGCAATCCAGTACCTACTGTAGAATGTATCTTTGCAATGGACAGTATTTTCTAGATTGCTGACACCTTTAAATGTTGGAAATCTAATTCACTAAAAGCTCTCATTCAGATCTAGATTCCTGAAGCTGGCTGAACAGCACAAAACCAAAATGAGCCAGAGCAGGAACCTAGTATTTACAGGATTTGTAGCCTGAAAACATCATTTGGGTTTTGATACATACAGCCATTCGTCCCACTCAGCATTGTGCCATGTGAGCCTTATTCATTAGAGAAATAATTATTAAAGAAATCAGTTATTCTAGATTTAAAAATAATTTTTTTGTTTGAGTAAAGAACAGAGTAGTTATTATTTACCAAAGACTTGTGTACTTATGAATCATTTAACCCTGAAGCGTGTTGGTAAATTATCAATGTATTTCAGGTATACTTTAAAAATAATTTGGGGGCTAATTATCCTCAGGAGCAAGTATGTTAGTGTTTTTTGATATCCAGCAATTTAAAACAAATTTAAGAGACTTAAGAGATTTGAGATTGAAGTTGTATGGAAATTATTTTTTAAGAAGTTTTAGTCATAGGATATATAAAAACTGGGAATTTGGTTGAGATTTTTGATGCCTGTGCTGTAGTGCCTCAGCTCTAGAACTGCAGAATATATAACAAGAATATATAACAAGAATATTTGTAAACAAATAAAAAAACCCTCTTGAGATTATCAGATCAAAGCAGTCTTTTGGTCTGGTAAAGTCTTTTTAATTTTTGTGGTAATATTAGTTCAGTAATATAGTATGTTCACATTAACTGTATATCTCTTTTGGTCCATACAGTGACTATTAAAGCATACTCTGGTTACCTGTAACACCTAATAAAAGCTGTAAATTTTCTCTTCTTGGAGAAGGCTTCCATTGTATTCTACTTTTGGCCATAAGGATAAGATCAGCTTCCAGCTTAGCTTGCCAGACTCTAACAGACTTTAGGATGGAAGGTTCACATGTCTTTATTTTTTCCTTTTATTTTTTTCTAAACTTTACTATATGATTTCTATTTTCAAATGCCAGTGTTGGCATTTGAACAGGTCAATTTGTACAGGTCAGTCTGTACAGAATACTCTGCCAAAAGAAAGAGGGCTACTAACCATACCTATGGACAAATCTAGGAAAAAATTTCATTTAGCATGTACAAAAGTGGACCAGATGGTGGTTTACGTCTGACACTACAATATATTTGTATTTCTGACAACCTTTCCTAAAGTGGTCATGTGTTCCTAATATAATGTGTGAATCAATACCTTCAATAAACATCATGCTACACTTTGCTGCAGCTCCTCACAACCAGCGTGTGTGCTCTGCGGGTGAACTACGGGCTGCACCTGTAGCCCAGCTCCAGGCAGTGCCCTAGGTGGAAGCAGTTTCCCCTTTCCTCTGCAAAACAGCAGCAATTTGCTTTGTGATCAGACCAGTGGTTCTAATAAGCCTTAATGAGTGGCCTTGAGCTCCTGCAAGCCGTGCTGCGGCAGCACCTGCAGCCTTTTGACCAGCAGGTCTTCCTGCCCCTCACGCTGGCCCTGGCAGCCGGGCCCTGCCTGGGGAGCAGCGAGCTCACGGGGCGCGGCCGTGAGGGCAGCACCGCAATGTCTTCGGTAGCGCTGCGAGATCCCGGCTCTGTTTTCAGGTGCCGTGTGATGCCAAGCAAAGGAACACAGAGATGTTACCGGCGGTGATCTCTGCCCGGTTCCGACACGACTAGAATGAGGTAATTAATGGGTTCTGTAGCGGTGTATCACAGCACCTGGAACGCGCCCGTGCGTGTCCAGCTCTCGCCGCCTGAGGCCGCAGCCCCGGCCCGCCCGGTGCTGGGAGAGGAGCGGGGAGCGCTGAGCTCCTCGTTTATCAATAACGGCACCTCCGAAAGCCAAATATATCGCCTTTTTTTTTTTTTTTTAAATTTTTTTTTTTTAATTTTTATTCCCCGCGGTTATCTCGTTTACACGTTTTTTTACAGTTAATTAGACGGGAGCGCGGCCGGCTCCCGGCAGGAGAGGCCGGCGAGGGGCGGCCCCGGGCGGGGCTGGGCGGCGGCGGCGGCGCTCGTCCGACCCCGGGCCTGCGCCAACCGTGCCCCGGCGCTCCTGCTGCCCTAGCGGAGAGATGGGCTCGGAAATGCCACTTATTAAAAATTGCAAAGACTTCACGCGTTATTTGAGGAACAGAGCAAGGAAAACACCTTTTTGGAACCATTGCTTAAATTATGTTGGAGGAAATGTTGCTTGAAGTATATCATAAGGACACCTATTTGTAGACCTTGGCTTTGGGTTATTGTCCTGTCTTGAAAGACTGTCTTATACTCATAGAAAAATCAGCCTCTAAGTGTTTATTCTCTGTATTGAAAAGTAAACAAATTACTCAATGTTTAAAATTACATCTAAAAGGTTTCTTACCTGGTCTAGGAGCTCTAGAACAAATTCACTTTTCTATATAAAACCTTAAGTTTATGGTTTATGGCTTTTCCTGTATATTCAAGTGAAAATATTAAAAATATGCTAGAGGGATCTGGATAGGCTGGACTGATCAGCAGAGACCAAGAGTATGAGGTTCAACAAAGAGAAACACTGAGTCCTGCCCTTGGGTCACAGCAAAGCTCTGCAGTGCCACAGGCTTGGGGTAGAGTGGCTGGAAACTGCCTGGCGGAAAGGGACCTGGAGCCGCTGGGTACGAGCCAGCACAGGCCACGAAGGCATCCTGGCTGATATGAGAACTAGCATGGCCAGCAGGACTAGGACAGCGATCGTCCCCCAGTCCTTGGCGCTGGCAGGCGCCTCGAGTGCTGTGTGCAGTTTTGGGCCCCTCCGTGCAGGAAGGACATGGAGGTGCTGCAGGGTGTCTGGTGGAGGGCAGCGGAGCGGATGAAGGGTCTGGAGGGTAGGTCCTATGAGGAGCAGCTGAAGGAGCTGCGGTTGTTTAGCCTGGAGAAGCGGAGGGCTCAGGGGTGGCATTATCTCTCTCTGCAGCTCTCTGAAAGGAGGGTGTAGCCAGGTAGGGTCAGGCTGGTCACCCAAGGAACTGGTGATAGGACACGAGGACATAGTCTCAAGCTGTGCCAGGAGCAATTCAGGTTGGACATTTGTGGGAATTTCTTCAGAGACATGATTAGACATTGCAATGGACTGCCCAGGGAGGTGGTGGAGTCACCATCCCAGGAGGTGTTTAAGAAAAGGCTGGACATGGTGCTTGGTACCGTGCTCTAGGTGACATAGTGGTATTTGGTCACAGGCTGGGCTTGATCTTGGAGGTCTTTTCCAACCTAATTGATTCTGTGAAAAGACTGAATTGCATTGACAGTTATAACATCTACTTTAGGTGTTAGCAAATACGAGTATTTGCAAGTTAGCTTTGCATGTGTTGTTAAAACAGTTAACTGGAAGCTGTTGCAATGGGAATCCATTTTCAGGAGGAAATAATTTCCTGTTAAATGGCATTCTTACTGGCAAATCTTTCACTTCAGCATTTGCTAAAAACATTTGTAATTTTTTCTGTATGTGGTAAAATTCCCATGTGTTAGGTTGTTATTCTGCATCTGTGTTCTCTGTTCTCTGCCAGCCACCTCTCATGCAGTTCCCTACATTATTGAAATATCTTGTTAACATAGAAGAGTCTTTGTTAGTGTGTAAATACCTGTAGCACTTTAGGACACTTAAGGAAATGGGGGTAATTTTACCTTTTACTTATATGGAACAGAAGACTCTGCTTGTGGGGAATCAAGGCAGGTGCATTCTGATGTTTTTACTATATCCTCATTTCTTCTTTAAAACAAAAGGCAACATTTTTGCAGAAAGGAAATTGTTAATACTGAACTGAGTCCTGCCCACCTTTCAATAGAGATGCTACAGCTTATACTATTCAATAATGCAGTTAAGGCTACTGTGTATGGCCCCAGGTACCCGCTGCGTGGCTCAGCCTGCTTTTAGCACCACACAGTGAAGTGCAGCCCGTGCCTGGCTGCAATGGTGTCTGACACGGGTGCCCAGTGTGCCCTGCTGGCTCAGGTGGCTGCACAGCAGTCGGTCCCCTCTGTGCCGGCCCCTGTCAGGACTGATCAGCAGCGTTCTGCAGGGTCGGGAGCGTAGGGAAGTGACCTCTGTCTGCCCTTCCTCTGTGCCCCCACAACGCCGCTGCTCCTGCCACGCAGCGCCAGCACGCAGTGCTGTGGGATGGATGTGTGAGCACGGGCATCCCACTCGCTGCAAAGCGCTGCCTTTCAAGGCTGAGGGGAGCAGACATGAGGTAGATTGGAGCCCAAAAAGAGTATAAAATGTCAGGGGATATGGTGAGAAAAAACCGTTATCCTGCAGATGGTTTCACATTAAAAATTTTCCTTGTGCCCACCTTTGTGGAAATTATGTGCTGTTATTGCAAATAATTCTGCCATGGCAGAACAGATGGTTTCACTTAATGCTATATATCGTTTTTAACTAAGTGGTGCAATGTCATCTGACTATCCTATATCATTAATACACAGTCAGTTGTTCCTTACAAAATTCCCCACAATCCACTGTCTCTTTTGGAAACTTATCAGAAGGACAGAGAGGACCTTATTTTCTAAATAGAAGCTTTCAATTTCAAGATTAAAAAAAAAAAAAAGTAATTCAATATTTTGTATTTCAAACTATGTAGTGCACAGATTTCTGGATCTGACCCAGGTATCAGACTATCACTCTGGTTGTCCTTGCACAAGAGGGATGGGATTAATTTACTTTGCAAAGAGAAATACAGGTGAGTGATGCAAGTGGACTCAGCAAAGGTGCATCTGGCACAAGAACAGACAAATATGAAAACTCAGAATGTGTTTCCAGGAGAATGCACCTGTGTCCTGAGCAGCCCTTGTGTGTAAGCATCTCTCTGCTGAGTGGTCTTGCTCATAGCTGAAGATGCTCTTACAGTTCTGACGTTGCTTGCTGGTCCAGGGACCTGTGGGTCACATACAGCCACAGGTTTCATTAGTTCTAGTGTTTGGTAAAACTGGTAAAATAACTGATTTACAATGTCCCTTACCAAGACATTAAACCTGTCAAAAAACTAAACATAGATAATGAGAAGTAGTACAAATTGTCCTGTGCAGAGATCTGGACTCTTTCTGTTAACTAATGAACTGGGGACACTGTGCAGTCTAGACACATTTTTTTTTTGAAACTGACCATGTTGGTAAGGAGCTGGCAATTTCAGAGATACATAAGTGTTGGAAGAGTTGTGCCTTATTCCATCCCACCTATCCTTTTCCATTCAGCTGTATTAGGTGATTGCAGGTGTTCTGCTGAGTCAGGCCTCTTCCCTCCCCATGCAGGGTTTGTACTCCTCATGGATGTGATGTGCTTTTTCACAATTGTGTGGAATTCAAGCCATCTGATTTCTTTTATTCTGATTCGGAGACTGAACAAAGTAGTTGTATCTAAATGGCACAGTAGTAGACAAGTGTGCTGTGGGGCAGTTTAACTTCAGTCACGCTGTTGGTTGCTTTGGTGTTTGCTCTGGTCTGCATTATGCAGCCAGAAGCAACTGAGAAATCTTACTGGCATGGTGAAAAATATGTTCCTCTGGCACTTAAAATAACTCCTACAAGTATTGGTAAAATGGACCTGACAGCATCTTTCCAAAGTTTAATTCAGTTAATCTGTGGGATGGTTTGCCAGATTAATCAGAATGACTGCCTAAAGCTGTGTGGTTGGGTTATAGTCACTAAACTTGACTATATGGCACACCAGACAGAGCTGGTGCTTTATTTCTGTCTGCAGTCGATTCAGCCTGTATGTTCCTCTCCTGTCACCGTGGCCTCTGCTTTTGTTTTTAAACAGAGGAACCTCTAATTCCCTTCAGCTGTGATGTGCCTTTTGAACAACTGAGAAGCCAAATGCTTTGCTCCACAGGCGTGCTGCTGAGTATGACAGTACTGGTCACAAGTGGTGCATATAGTGGAACATAGGTAGCAAGGGCATTTTTTTGAAAAGCAGGTTAAGTGCAGTAGTTCTGTAAATAACATCCTCCAAGCTGTTGGTTCCTCTTGCAAGTGTTGTTGTAGCTGTCAGAGTAGGGTGGCTGTTTGCTGTGGTAGAGAAAGTTGTTGCTAACTCAGACTCTTCTTCCTAAACTTTGCAGTTTTTCTTCCTTCCCTCCCCCAGCTCACTCAAATGGAGGAAAGGCTAAGTTTTGTATATCTTATAACTTCCAAATGCTAACAAATCTGGGTTTGAGGAAAAAGCTTTAATAGAAATATGAATCATCATCTGACATGAAATGGTGTTCAAACTATCCAAGTGTAT